CGAAATAATTATGTACCTATCTTAGTTGAGAGAGAGATTTACTCGAATTTCATGGCTAAATAAATACATTCGTACACAATACATCTTAAATATATCATTAAACCCAATCATACCTATTATTTTAACATAATAATTATCTGTAAAGAATATATAAGATGATTGACCTGTAAATGGTACCATCCAGTACAGAGCTGACGCGGTGAGGACCTAACACTATTCACTGCTTTCTTTTGTTCTAATGTCTATCACACCCCGTGCTTATTGACTTCCTCCCGTTCATTCTGCTCTTTCTTGTATATTTGTTTCAACTGCACCGGCTATAACCGAATGGCCCACTACACGGCTAAATTTTCCCCAGATTTTTATATCGAACTATTTACAAAAGGATCATACACACACCTACTCGTACACTATATCATACATTCAACCGTACCCACCGAATCATGCTATCACACAACACAAGCATGCTTGCAAGCCATAAAAAGATTCGGCCACAAATTAAACTAATTGGAAAGAAAATAATTATTAGATTTCATAAAGAGACACAAGAACGCGGAACGTGACCTATCTAAAACCGGCGAGTACTCAATATGTACTGTTGGACATATATAAATAAATCTTATTATCATCACTTGAGTTGTCTTCATGGCCGAATGGTAATTTGTCTAAACGGCAACTATTTATGAAGGTTTCTGAACATGGGCAGACGTTGGTCGTTATATCTACGACATGCAAAGAAGAAATTATCAGCATTTTCATAAGGATATACACATATACAGGAAGGGGAATCGATTACATTAATGTTGAAGCGATATTCATTTAAAAGGCTGCATTTATGGCGGAGCTTGGTTAGTAGAATATTTAGCTTACGATCTCCAACTAGGTAGTAATCAGGTAATTGAATGTTTCATTTTAAGAGAGACCTTAAAATAGGGCGCAGTTTTAATATTAGTGTCTAGATCATTCCACAACCTAAACGCAGAAGGTACAGAAGAATTAAATGTAGATTATAAACGGAAATTAGGAAAGAAATAAATTTCAGAGTTTCTCATGTTGTATTGAGTTAAAGAAGATACTAATGGGAGAAGAAGGTCTGTTAGGTATGAGGGAGTCGTATTATTGTGAATTTTATAGAAAAGTTGAAGTTTGCGGCGGGTGCGTCGTTAAGATAAGATTTCCCAACCAGTTTCGAAATAATCAAGTGCTCTGCTAGCAAATGAAGGCAGACCAGGGACAACACGCACCGCTTCAAGCTGTAGTTTTTCTAGTTTATCAACATCCGCAATCGTACATCCATCCCAAACTTCACAACAATATTCGAGCAGAGGCAATATAAAAGTAAGATAAATTTTATTTAAAGTCTTGCGATTCAAACTATAGTTTAACTTACGATGTATCCCTATATGCTTCGTGACATTTTTACAACTGGCATATAGGAAAATGCCTAAATGTTTATTATGCTCAACGAAATCAATATTAATAGATTAAAAACTAAATTTATGTCAAGTTCCGTACTGGTATAAGTGCTTCCGTTTTATTGGGATTAAACTTTACAAGCCAATTTTCTGCCCAGTTTTGAATTGTTTCAAGATCTCTGTTAGTTAGTTTCCATTTCGACTAGAGAGTGGGAAGAGACAGAAGGGGAAGTATCATCAGCAAATAGGCGGGAAGACTGTCAAGATTATCCGTTATATCATTTATATACAAAAGAAAAAGAACTGAATCTAAGACAGAACCCTGTGGTACACCAGCTTTTCTTGTTTTAATACGAGAAGTAACACTATTAGTAAAGACTTGTTGGTAACGATTATGAACGTAATCGGATAGCTAGTTTAAAAAGGTTTCTAGTGATTCCATATGTTTTTAATTTATGTACAAGACCTGCATGCCAAACACGATCAAAAGCTTTTGAATGTAACAAAAAAACAAGTAACAAGTATGTTTACGGTTTTCTAAATTTTTACATAAATTATCATTAAATTTTAATTAGTTGATGTACTGTTGAATGACCTGGCTGGAATCCAGATTGGATTTTATATATTAATGAATTGTATAGAAATTTTGTGATAACTTTTTCAAATACCTTCCCTACAGTGCCTGATAAGGCTACATGTCTATAATTACTGGGACGTTGTGTATCGCCTTTTTTCAAAATTGAAAACACCAATTTTTTGAGGAATTAGGATATATTCCTTGATTAAGAGACTTTCTGACGTTAAGAAATAACGGAAATGGCACAGAAGGAGCAGTATTTTTAGGTCATCTGACCCGAAGGGTCCGATGACCTATAGTCATCATGCTTCGTCCGTCGTCGTCCGCCGTGCGCCGTGCGTCGTGCGCCGTGCGCCGTCCGTAAACTTTTCATTCAAACGACTTCTTCTCAAATACTAGAAGGTCTAGGGGGCTAATACTTGGCACAGAGGATACTGGCATGGAGCTCTACCAAGTTTGTTCAAATGAATGACCTTGACCCACTTTAAAGGTCACAGGGGTCAAATATGTTAAAATCTTTAAACAACTTCTTCTCATTAACCAAAAGGCTCAGAGTGTAGATATTGGGCCTGTGACATGCTGGGATGAAGGACTACCAAGTTTGTTCAAATGAATGACCTTGACCCACTTTAAAGGTCACAGGGGTCAAATATGTTAAAATCTTTAAACAACTTCTTCTCAATAACCAAAAGGCTCAGATTGCTGATATTGTGCCTGTGGCATGCTGGGATGAAGGGCTATCAAGTTTGTTTAAATGAATGACCTTGAACAACTTTCAAGGTCACAGAGGTCAAATATGTCAAAATCTTTAAATAACTTCTTCTCAAATACTAGAAGGCCTAGGGGGCTAATACTTGGCCCATAGCATGCTGGCATGGAGCCCTACAAAGTTTGTTCAAATGAATGACCTTGACCCACTTTAAAGGTCACAGGGGTCAAATATGTTAAAATCTTTAAACAACTTCTTCTCAATAACCAAAAGGCTCAGATTGCTGATATTGTGCCTGTGGCATGCTGGGATGAAGGGCTATCAAGTTTGTTTAAATGAATGGCCTTGAACAACTTTCAAGGTCACAGGGGTCAAATATGTCAAAATCTTTAAATAACTTCTTCTCAAATACTAGAAGGCCTAGGGGGCTAATACTTGGCCCATAGCATGCTGGCATGGAGCCCTACAAAGTTTGTTCAAATGAATGACCTTGGCCCACTTTCAAGGTCACAGGGGTCAAATATGTTAAAATATACAAAGGACTTCATCTCAATAAGCAAAAGTCTATGAGTGCCGATATTGGGTCTGTAGCATGCTGGGAGGAAAGGCTACCAAGTTTATTTAAATGAATGACCTTGAACAACTTTCAAGGTCGCAGGGGTCAAATATGTCAAAATCTTTAAATAACTTCTTCTCAAATACTAGAAGGCCTAGGGGGCTAATACTTGGCCCATAGCATGCTGGCATGGAGCCCTACAAAGTTTGTTCAAATGAATGACCTTGGCCCACTTTCAAGGTCACAGGGGTCAAATATGTTAAAATATACAAAGGACTTCATCTCAATAAGCAAAAGTCTATGAGTGCCGATATTGGGTCTGTAGCATGCTGGGAGGAAAGGCTACCAAGTTTATTTAAATGAATGACCTTGAACAACTTTCAAGGTCGCAGGGTCATAAATAACTTCTTCTCAAATACTAGAAGGCCTAGGGGGCTAATACTTGGCCCATAGCATGCTGGCATGGAGCCCTACAAAGTTTGTTCAAATGAATGACCTTGGCCCACTTTCAAGGTCACAGGGGTCAAATATGTTAAAATATACAAAGGACTTCATCTCAATAAGCAAAAGTCTATGAGTGCCGATATTGGGTCTGTAGCATGCTGAGAGGAAAGGCTACCAAGTTTATTCAAATGAATGACCTGAACCCACTTTCAAGGTCACAGGGGTCAAATATGTTAAAATATACAAACGACTTCTTCTCAACAAGCAAAAGTCCATGAGTGCTGATATTGGGCCTGTAAGATGCTTGGAGGAGAGGCTACAAAGTTTGTTCAAATGAATGACCTCAACCCACTTTCTAGGTTTGGCTTGCTTTTTGTCAGATGACCGTTAAGGCCCATGGGCCTCTTGTTTAACATTTGCTGACTAATTTTATCATATCCCACGGCTTTATCTACATTTAAGGATTTCAGGATGTCAACAATATCAGATTGAGTGAAAAAAATATTTATCAATACGACTTTGAGTTCTTGTATCAACGTGGGGTAAAGGTACGCCCGAGTCATCTATGCTAGAAATAGGCACAAAATAATCATTTGAAATGTTAGCCTTTCGTTCATCGTCTACTAGTACAAGAGAAAGGAGCGGAGACATAATGTATGATACATTGACACTCTTAATTCATCAACGAACTAGTTTCCAGAAATTCATTTGATTAGTTATCACATAATTATCTAGTAGCCCATTAATATCGTCATAAAGATGTTCTCTTGTCCTACGTTTAAGATTGTTGACATGATTTCTTTGTTTTTTAAATTTAGCCAAATTTTCTACAGAAAAAGATCTTATAAGTTTTTTATGCAATCTATTTTCAATTCTGATTTCATGTCTCAGTGCTGTAGTACGGTTTATAGTTCGGTCTTATCGTAATAAATTATACATTGAGCAGCGTAATATAAAAACTTATCGGTGAAATCAAGTACATTTCATCACATGTGAGAATTTCTACTTACTTGTTGCCAGTCAATGTTTTGTAACACAAATCATACGTTTAAATCTGTGGACAAGAGAAACATTAAGTTTAATTTCAACGATAGTTGCGTCATGGTCGGAAATGTCCCCTATCAATTTGAATTACGTCAGAAAAGCCAACCACGCATGTATCACTCAGTAAGATGGATACGTACGGATAATGTTGTCAAGCTTGAGAGATAAACATGATGCAATAATGATAAATATTATATTAACCTGTCACATCCGTTGTTAAATTCATGAAGGTTATAAACGTTACTGTCGTTTCAGGTCCAAGTCTGAAGGTCGTCGGGACAATATCTGAAGACCTTAGTCACATCGACATTAATGAATGTAACAGCCGGGGCATCAAGATCGCCACCCCGCCAAAGGTCTCCATGGAAACCGTGGTTGACCTGACAATCGCCATCCTGCTTCAAGCCACGTCATCAGGTACGTAAAATGGACCAAGTGACCGCCTCTATAAATACTGATGCTATCCGACCTGTCGACAAGGAAGTAAGAGTGTACTAATTGATGATCGAAACACGTGCAATCGCTATAAAGTGACCGCTTTGATGTAACTTCACCACAACACCGTTTTGTAACTAGCGTTCAGAAACATAACACCACAAACTTAAGGTAGACACATATAGATAGCTGTTGGCTGTTATTACTTAAAACGTCACAGCGGATGTTAAAGTTTGAGAAGAAAGGATACACACCTTGTGAATACTATTACCGCTGGTATAAGATAGAGTCATGTTTTCAATTCTGTAAAACAAACTGAATCTTTGTCTAATTGAACACAAATGTAAGTTTATCGGGCGAAATCGACCATAAGCAAAACACAATCAAATTAAGCGCTTTGTACAAGGATTAACATGTAAACATAATGTGAATCTCTTCGTTCGATTAATGCTCGTGATTCAATGACCGATTCAATATAACATGGGCTTACTTCCTCCAGGAAGTAGCTTTTTAGGGTTTCTCCTATTTCTGGGATTGGAAGGGTATGTTTAAATAAGCGATCGATGTTTCTGTTTATTAGGACAAGAACAGGTTATTTATAAAATGTATAAGCCACTTCAAGAAGACAAACAGACAGAACAAAATTCATATTAAAATTTTGATTAATCGATTCGCTTTTCTGCGAAAGGAGAGCTACTGCATGTTCCTTATTTAGTAGCCAGCATTTGGTTTCCCACCACGGGAGCGAATCAGGTTTGTAGATCAACAAACCGAGACACTATGAACAGCATATCAGGTTAAGGTCACCGACGACAGGAAAGTGTATTCGGAAGCTCCCTTGGTAGGAAAACATAATTTTTATATGGTTAAACATTTTAATTAAGCGGAAGATAGTACAAAATACACACAGGAGGATGACACCCATCAGCTGTCCCGGTATTCCTTGAACGAAAGGCAGGCAGGAAGAAAGAAAACATCCAATACACTCTGAAATACAAAACAACATAATCTGGTTTTAGTTGATAATTCTAGTGCCATGTTTGATAAACAAATGTACTTTCCCACCATTGTTTTTTCTTGAATCCACTGAAAATAATAATATGAAAATATACCTTTGCCCAAATGCACACAAGGTATATATTCGATAATGTCATATTGTGACAGACATTTTTGCGATAACATGAATATATTTTTAATATTTTCCTATTAATTTTGTAGTTTCTCCGACAAAACATATTGCTGAAGTTACGGATGCCAATTCAAACCACGTGGTTTTTCAAGGGAAGACTCTGGGAATTGTTGGATTTGGAAACGTGGGTCATGCTGTTGCGAAGCGGCTAAGCCACATGGGTGTCAGTCGAATTTTGTACCATGACATTTCCGAGATACCAACTGCTGGAGAAATCAGTGCCGAATATTGTCCGTTTGAAAAACTTCTAAAAGATTCTGATATCTTGTGTTTAAGTTGTAAGCCGAACACGCAATCACAGAACCTGTTTAACAAAGAAACATTCAAGAATATGAAAAACAGTGCAATTTTAATTGATGCCTCAAGAGGTCATACCATTAACTACACTGATCTATATGAGGCTCTGCGTAAAGGAGACATACGTGCAGCAGGACTGGATGTTCGGGAAGAAGGACATATTTCTTTTAAGGCACCTCTCGAAGGACTTAGCAATTGCCATTTCTTCCCCTATCAAGAGGTCAACCACACATGGGACAACCGGAGTAGGAACTCTGGTGTGCTGGCTCATGACATTTTGACCTTGCTGACAAGTGCTTAAAATACATCTTGACTATTTAGTAATGACACAGACTCTTGTCGAAAGAAGAAACTTCAATGGGACAGCATTGGAGGAGGATTCATTGGGGAAAATCTGTGAAAAACAACCTTTACTCCAATAATAAATTCTTAATTTTAGCATTTTCACAACTAGGGTATTCTTTGGAGCTGTCAGTGTCGCTTTTGACACTTTAATGATCCAGTCCAGGAATGAAACGTATTTTAGGTAATGACATCAAACACTGTTGAATGGTTTATTATTTTGAAATTTGAAAACTGGTAGACATCAGTTGTTTGGGAAGAGACTTATTTTCATAAAAACAGGACGTGACATTCATAATAATAATAATTTTTAAAAAATATATGACATCTTCCACCATTTTGATTTTACTTATCTTTATATTGAAAAATGTCTTTTATTTTCGCATTCGTTCTGTTCACACACTTCTGTTTACTATCAATGTGTATTTTTAAACAATCTTGGATCTCTACCAAACAGAGATATAAGTTTCATTCTTATAGAGATAAGTAAGATATAACCAATATTTCAATTTTGTTTTTGTAACTTTTATGTTTTGAAATTATCATTTCTTGGTCGTCAGTATTTGGCATTAAGTGTTTTATATGACTTAATAATGATCTCTTACGTTCAGGCGCAATCTCTTCATACATGTAAACATATCACATTGCAATTAATGTTTATAAACAAGTTTTTTTTATTTTGAAGTATTGAGTAATGAACGATATATATGGTCATTGACGTCATTGTCAGGATATATGTATGGTCATTGACGTCATCGTTCACTATATATGTGATCATTGACGTCATCGTTCACGAAATACATGGTCATTGATGTCATCGTTCACTATATATATGCTCATTGACGTCATCGTTCACTATATATATATATATATATATGATCATTGACGTCATCGTTCACTACATATATATATGATCATTGACGTCATCGTTCACTATAGATATGGTCATTGACGTCATCGTTCACGATATATATGGTTATTGACGTCATGTGAGGAAACGGGAATGACACTGAATAGTCCATAAAAAAAAGCACCAAACACATCCTTTTATTCTTACGCTTCAAAATGTCATACGAGGAAAACCTTTAAAGCTGAGTCTTGGGTCGAATGTTTTACTGGTATTTTTAAACAAAAAAAATGGTATCTTGCATGCCTTGTGAATACGCAGTTCTCGACGGAACTCTTTCTGATGACGTCATGCCTTAACTTTTTCTAGACGTCGTATTTGCATCGTTGCCAACATCATTAAATTCACTTTTAACCATGATATCAGTCTACACTTTTTGCATGAAGGTAGCAGTTCTATCATTTATCATTATCATGTTTCCACTTTTCATATCAATATAATATCGATGGGTTTTATGAATACTGTAAATACCTATGCCAGTTTTTTGTTCGCATTGTATGCGATTTTCATTCCAAATCTAACGCACATATTTTTAACACAGGAACCATGCACACTTACATGTTTCGGTGATGCTGATAATTGTAGGATCCTGTCTTGATGCCACTCACAGAGATTTTCATCACAGTACTCTTGTAAACGTGATTAGTATTTATAAATACTGGATATCTTAATCAGGATGATGTATAGCTGAATAGTAATTGTATACCATATGGACATATATATGATATATTGTTTTTAGGATTAAATGACACACCCTGTTGTATGTATAAGAGAACCTCAATTGAACACATAGATTGTATTGGGTGTCGTACTTTTACAGCGAAACCCACTTGTTGATGTTTGTACATGTCATACCCGGTGTTTCTAAATGCATTAGAAAACTAATTGTGAAATAATTGTCGTGAGCTTCAATTTTCTGGTAATTCAAAGAAATCCTTTTTGTGAGCACTCAATTTTAGTGGATACATATTACTTAAATCTGCTTAATACTACCTTTAAAGTTTATTGATTCATGGACGACATCTTAATTGGTGGATGAAAAGTACACACAAAATAATCAAAAATTCATCCTCACGACAATTAGTGATTTTACAGCATATACTAAAGTACATACCATACATATTATGATGTATTGTAAAATAAACCACTACTTTTTAGTTTTAGTCATCAGAATAGTTTGACGATAAATTACATGTGCACTATATTGTCTTACTTAAGGGTCACACTCCACCTTATACTTATCGACGTAATTGTGTATCTATTGATAAGCAAAGATAAACCACCATTGAAAGAAACGGGAATGTTAATTTTTAAGTATGAATGCTACTTTAATGTCAAGTGCTGCATCTCCTTTACAAAAGAGTTTCATGCAAAGAAATAGGTGTTCTTCCTGTCAGCAACATTTTCGGTTTGATAACGTTATGTGTTATTTAAAAGATATGTAAGCCTTATTGCCTTGAAAATAGGGAAACGAGAGTCTTTAAGTCTTTAAACCATGTAAAATTGCGATATGATGGCCGAGAGCGTCGGGAAATGTGCCATAGTTATCTTTGTATAGCTCTACTACCATAAAGATATTGTGTATGTATATCATGACGATTTGAGACGGAAAAAAAAATCTCTTTGTTTTTCTTTCTTGCGTGGCGATGATGATCTATCACCTTTTGATGAGATCGAGACATCGTGTTAACATCATTGACGAGATGTCCCTTGGTCTGGAACGACTTGATTTGGTATATCAACTATATGATTATCAGACCAAGTCGTCCACGAAGTACATACAGCTCTATAACATATAAATTGTTATGATGAACACTTTATACATTGTCCTCACTTCAAAACCATTCATATTGATGTGTACATGTCATCAAGAAATAAGACTTTTAGCATTGTTCCATTTTTAACAATGCTAGTGTTTCCTTGAGCCTTTTTGTGTTCAGTTTTTCAGCTCAATCTTTTTGTTATTGAACTTATTGAACACATTGCACATGAAATGTGAAAAAGTTTTTTGAGATTGTTGATGGAATCAATAGATCTGGAAAGAGTTTTATTTTGTTTTCATAGTGATAATACACCCATACAGGGCATACGGGTTCAATATATTCGCTGCCAGTGATTGTTTAGATGAGAGTTTAACTTTCAGATTCCGTTTTTTGTTTCACACTGCCTTTATTTTGACGTGATGTGCCTCATATATACAAACTTGTAGATATATCTTAATACGCCACAGGGACCAGGTAATTTTAATTATTGTTATCGACTCATAGCCATGAGAATGTCAATGATTCTGATCAAACGCTAGATATATAGTAAAACAAAACAAAAATACCGACATGTTCAAAACATTCTTAATTTAAAAAAACAAAATTGTGTCAAAATAAGAACAAAAGAAATCTTTACACATAGACTCCCGAACAAAACATAATAAGGCAAGGCGTTCGGGAATGTTAAGCGTCTTCGACAACACCCGTTAAGTACATCATTTTCAACCCAATAAGTAACGTCACAGTTTTTGATCACATTCGTTGGACATTGTTGATCTTAAGAACCACCTTGTTTTGATTAATTCCCTTGTTTTTGGATCAGAAATATCTTAAAACATCATCCAATAGTGACGTTATAGAACGTGACAGGTATTTTAACTTCGTTTTTTTCGATACGTTTTACTGCAAACTGGTACATTTTTACGTAAATTCACCTTTTACAGGATTGTACAAAAGACACAAGGGAACGTTTACCAATCCTCTTTAAAAGTTTGAAAATCTTGATAAAAAGTCGGTAATCGCCACTGATACTGTGTACTATAAAATCTCACATTTTCATATTTGTTCAGTCAGTTGTTTTTTTTGTTGGCACTTGACAAATGAAAATCACCAATGCTTAAGATTCATGTAAACCTTTTAAAGGACCATCCATTAGTGGAGGTGTGAATGAATTCTTCGTGGTTTAAATCCACGTAATAATTTTACAGTACATAGTAAGTGTATAACTTTTTTAGGTATGATGACTGGCACATCGGCGTTATTCTACTTGTAAATAAGACTTGTATACCCACAAACGTCAGCAGATGAAGGTTTGTTTAAGTTTTTTGTATCTGCACATTATCACGTGCTCAGCCTGGAAAAGATATCTTTGAAATATTCTTTTCTTGTACAGAAATAGTTGCCAGTGTTTATAAAACATGTTTTATTATCGCTGATAATATTAAGTTGCTTTTTAAATAAATTTTACAACGTTGATACTTAAGATATAGTTTTGTCTTTATTTCTTTGTACAATGAAACTGACTTGTGTATTGATCAGGTGAGTGTTTAAGAGACACAACGTTCCCCTTGTAGGACTTAAAAGACTCAAATCAACATCAAAAGGCATTGGATTATTTTATTTCTAAGCACATGTTGTATATAAACGCATGTATGTATGTTACAGTGAGTGATCCCTTTTATGATAAATTGAATAGCACACAGCTTGTCAATGGTAAATTTAAGGAAACATTTATCTACTTTCAGCCCTACTTCAGTTCAAAAGATATGAATTACATGAAAGCTAATGCTACGATACGGCGTCCTTCTGTCCATAGAAACATTTGAAAAAAAAATTATTGACTATTATTTACCCGAGAAATTCCATCAACGTTTGTCGTATAAAAGACCTTGACATTTTAAGACAACCTTAGAAACCTTCGTAAATATTATAATCTAGAATGATACAATAAAGACCAAAATGTATTAACTTTTGTTTACATCGTAAATATAATCTTCCACGTTATTTCGATCGATATTTGTTTTTTGTTTTTTGTTTCTATTGGTTTCAACTCTCTAATGAGTCCTAGTAGGACATAATAGGTGTATGATGCAGTTTAATTCATTATATGACATATATTAGTATTGTATCCTATTCTAAATTTGTTTCGGGCCCTTTTATTCGCTGCGTCATTTCACTTTTTGTAAACGTCTTTACTTGGTTACGTAACCTCTCATCAAACATCCGTAAGGAAGTTACTAAGACGACACCTCTGACTGGCTGACATTTTTAGCTCATGGTCGATAATCGCGTGTTTTTGTATGTGTATCATACACGTATGTCTTAACATGAACTACATTTTGTATAACCTATGTTTGTTATAAAACTGTCCAGTCATTGCAGGGTGAATCACCGATTTCTAGTTGTTTCATATAAATGGTATATTTGATTAACAACCAGTGTCTGTAATTGTCTTCTCGTTCATTAAGTCACCTTCCAGTTATACAGAAATTTTCAAAATCGATTAAAATTCGAAAACCGATATTTAATCATTGAATTATTAGGCTTTTTAATTGCTGAATTTAGAATTTTCCTCGCCTTATCGTCACTCTAGATTGAAGTACACTATTAATATGACAAAATATATGCTATATATGATACAATAGGTACATCATATTGGTTAGCATTGTCTTGAAATATTTGAAAGCTGCTGGAGTAATCATGGATACAACTCGAAATAAGGAAATATTTGCAATATTTTAAACCTTTTCCATGGCACTTAAACATCTAATTGAGCACAGTTATAAACTTCATGCACATGAATTGAAAGCTACAATGATATTTGTGTCAAATCTATGAAAGTGGAACGTAACAAACATAATTAACCTGAATTCCAAGTACAGTGCTGACACATCTAGTTTATGTAAATGTTGTTGTACTGAAGAGCTGAGCCATTTTTAATCATGTCTTGGGAGTTATTAAAAACTACTTCAAAGTAAACCAATGGTAAGTTTTGAATGATATGAGCGAGCATCATATTAAGATTTTACAACAGAAACGTCGGGGACCGAAATTAATAGGTGAATTCAGATATGGAATTTATCGGTAATCTGGAGTTTGAAACAAGATTTGTATTTCTCGGCTACACTAAAGTGTAAGTGACCTCACTTGATGTGATTCATGCCCTTTATGGTAACAGAATGTTTATACTAATGAGTATACATGTATATATACAAAGTTATTACATGTCGTACAACCTGGAACTCTTTCGACCGGATTAATGCTAATTATGACAAATGTTAAGCTAACCTGACTTCCGTACGTCACTGCTTTCAATAAAAACAAATTTGATGGAGATCGGTTTGTAATGAAAACACCATTAGCAAAATTCTTTGGGGAATGAAGCATGAAATGTAATTTCTGTATTTCATTTTACGTGACGTATCAAACAACATAATTCGCAATCTCTAAAGAATCTGAAATCTTCCCACGCTGTCTCCTGCCCACACGTTGAACAAAAATATTTGTCTAGGAAAACATATTTACCAGTACATCGATACACAGTCAGCCTTTCATATTTGACCTACATTGTATAACTTTGATGATAATAAGCCATTAATATGCTAGTGTTCAGAAAGTAATTTGAAAAGTCAATATACAAGTAAATTTCTCATTAGAAAGTTATTACCTTGTTACATGTTAAGCATAAGAATATCGAAATGGGTATATATATCGCTAAGAGTCGGCTTACAAGTTATATTCAAATTGAGTTTAAAGTTGAAAATGAACTTTGTCCTGGAATGAAGACAAAGTCAAACAAAATATCTTAATTTTGTGTCTTTCGCAAATCATTCTCTGTATATGGTAATTGTAAGTATTACAAAAAACAAACAAACAAATAAACAAACAAACATCCATGCTTATAAATTGCATAACAGATAATCATTAAAACAAAATGCACTCCGATATCCTACCAACTGTCCACCATTGCCATTCGTAAAGTTTATTGAGCACTCGCTTGTCACTGTCTGAAAAAAATTGTTATCGAGTTTCAATGTGTTTGAAACTAAATAATATCAGTCTTGAGCTGCATCCTTAGATGACCTGTAGTTCGATTTCTACCCGGGAGTGTTCGTACCGTTCTACGCTGCCATGGTTGTACCTTTGAACAAGACATATTATCCCAACATCCCTGAATAACACGAAGCGGGCCTCGCGCATGTTGCTCTCAGTAATAAAGCCACATAACTAATACAATGATGTCTAACCGTCTTCAACATTACTGGTTTTTAATCTTGCAAACATTGCAACATTAAGCTTTATACTGATAAGTAGTGTGTCTTCACATAGTAATTTACCACATGTATATACAAAAATGTATCTATAAAAGTTACATGATTAGACACTGACAGTTGAACATTTACAATTGAACTTAAGCTGATACAGAAAGTCCGAAAATACAGAGTTCTGTTTATTCAAATGGTTTTGTCGTAACGTACAAATCATTATCTATTATTAAACTAAACACGTGCTTGGATGTGAAATTTAATTAACACATAATGTGTATTTTACAGAACGTTTTAAGAATTGCAAGTATTATTCCAGTATTCTATCTTCTCTTAAATAGAATTTTAATAAACGGGGAATCAATAAAACTGAGGACATCATCCGAGTACATGAAAGTGGTACTCTGATTATCAGCTGCCTCTAACTTTCTTCTGTATACGTGTCTAACGCAAAAAAAAATCGTTTTTATTATATTACGCTTCAAATACATTTAGTATAGATTAAGCTGAAATTGTGATCTCGGGCTTAGGGATTACTTTTTATGAACCCCAAATCAGTAGTCAGGATTTTACAGTATGAAACCTTTGGTTTCAGTTGAGACCCAACGACGGGAATCGTATGTCTTGCTTCAAAAACTCTTAATATTTAGTCTGCAAGGTTTACATTAACTTGCCTACCATTTTCTTCAGTATTCAAGATAACAGAATTTATTATATTTTTGGGACTAACGCATCTCCTTTTCATGTCTTTGATTTCACCTCAGTTACCTCTAAGTTTTGATATTAATATGTCAAATCTAAAGAGATGAAACAGCATCATGATGTCGTTGATTATATTAGTTGGTTATACTGAATATATCCCATTCAAAAATTGTGTTGAAATGTAAAATAAACACATGTGTGTATCTGTAATTACTGCATCCATTGAAGGAATAACTTCACACTGAAGCTGTTTGTGCTTTTCATCAGTAATTAGCCATGTCTACTGTCTAACAAACCGCAGTGTGCCAGTTTGGTATAGAATTTGGCTAGTTCCTTTCGGAACTTTTTATCCATAAAGCCATAAACAACAGGATTTATGGCATTGTTAAGGAAAACCATCCAACGAATGAATATGTCCAGGGCTCCATACTTATCCATGAAGTTACTATAAAGGGGCCCGTTGATATTTCTTATCAGGGTAGCGAGAACGTAAGGGAGATAACCCCCGAAGGAGAGAATTGACACAACTAAGAATACCATAGTTATATTTCTACTTCTGTCAAGCTCCTTTCGCTTTCTCTCCTTCAAGGTGTTCAGATACCGATTTCCTGTCTCTGTCGTATGTCGGATCTGGTCGTGATGACTTTCAACAGAATCACTGTGTTTCATGTCTGAGCCAAGATGATTTGTTGTCTTCAAAACGATGTCGACAGCGATATTAGAATCAGAGCTACCAGGTACCTGCATGATCGATGTGGTTATATCACTCGACACGTCTTTTTCTTGGGAATGACTGCTTGCACATTGCACATCTTCTGTCGATATAGGTTTCTTTCTAGAAATACATATTTCTTTATGTTTATTCTTATGAACAGAGATTTTCCTACCAACCAAAGTATACAACACGGCTGAAATTATAAAGAAAAAAACAAACATGACGAATATTATTCCTCTGTATACTTTCATAAACGTCGAACTCTTTAAATTTTCTAAGATCATACATTCATAACCAACCAACCAATGGGGCTTTGTTATCTTCTGGTTAATGCCATACGTGAGGATTCCGGGGATGGCAAACGTTACTATCACCAAGAGACAAGTTAATGCACAGACCACGCGAGTTGTTCGTAATGTAAATTGGCGACGAGTAACTGCACATACCTTCCGATAGCGTTCAACAGCGATACAATCCAGAAGTATCAAGGAGTATGCTCCTACAAAGTTCATGGCTGCGCGGTACACCTTGCAAAAAACAGAAGACTGTATCGTGTTCGGGTGTCTGATGATGTACAGTGACGCTGGAATACAGAATGTACACCCAAGAAAATCCACCGCAGCTAAACATAGTACAAACGTTTTATAGATGTTTGATTTGTATCTCAGTAAATACACCAGAAACACGTGGACATTTCCAATTGTTCCCAGGACACACAGAACTATCAGATAAACAGTGATAGGAATGCCAGTCTTCCTGAATTCATCGTAATCTTCGTCTTCTAACGAATACGTAACATTCGTCGACAAATTCATCTTAAATCAACGATTAAGAAATCTGGCCGATGAACTTGTATCCTCCGAGCCCCAGTATTACAAACTTTTATTCGGACAAACCACTTCACAGCCGGATGCGAGTCATGCGTCAAGACACCAATATACACCTTCTAAAACTGTTAACCTTTTTAAATTACTCAATGCCATTTCTTGAAACCTTTTGAACACTTTATCCATACTGAATTGCCTTCTTCCTGTTTGCATATGATCTGAAGACTTGTAGTTTATTTCCGTTGTGCAACATTCGAAGAACGTAATCCCTTGTCATACATTGTAGGTATGTCTAACGTTGCTGAAACAAACAAAAACTAAAAAAAACAATCAGTTGTATTATTTTTTCTGTTTTTGTCTCATTCAGGTAAAATATTCTGAATAAATCATTCTGTAGATTAATGTATTAGTGCTTCTCTTAAAGACGACATAATTTGATTATATTTTCTGCCATTTCGTGGTCGTTTCCGGGAACTTGGGGTGCGATGCAATGGTCTAGATTGAGCTTAATTTAGAATTAAAGAAAACAAAAATCGTTCACAAATATAATTGCAACGTCATTCAATTCCTTTAAAACGTACTGAATTCTTAAGATAAATCATAATATACACTTTTTTCAGGATTTGCGTTTTTCTTAATAAATGAGTAATAAGTATATTGTGTTTATGCTTTCTGTATCAATATACTGGTTGCAATCTGTGTCACAACTATAACTCTGTTCTGGTTATCAACTAAAACAGTACTTTAAATGAAAACGGCTTTTTAATAGTTATGAAAAAACACGTTTGTGGACACGAAATGTTTGAGTTGGACAGTTATTCATATGCTCATAGTTTGACTTTTAAAAACACACCAAGAGCAAGGTTTAAATTTCACTCAAAAGTGCTAACACTCACAGTTCGCTTACGATTTAGAAATTTCGTTCATTTTCTAAGGGGGTGTCATACTTTATTCTAGACTTTCTTTTATATACATATGTATTTTAATGCTTCGTTGATAATATGCATACGTACCAGCAGTATTAGTGTTATTAAAATATCACACCAGAAGACTTACTCCATGATAGGGAATAAGCTACGCTATTATTTGTCAAACTTATACATAAGGACGATCACATTGCCTATCAGTGATGACCAAGTAGCAAGTAAATTCTCTGGAAGTACACGTATCATGCATACATTCTCCATGTGTCAGTTAACTTGACCTTCGGTCGAAAGAAGAATTTCTTTAGTGTTTTATAATATAAAAACTTAGTAGAGCTACGTATTACTGAACCCCATAAAAACGCAAGTACATTTTCAAGTGAAAGTTATATTTTTAGTTGTGGTCTTTTATATATTGCTGTTAATATCAATGATATAATTTGTGAATGTAAATGATTGAATAGCGTGTTTTTGTTCACTCCACACATTGTTCATACCGACGACCCGTGCCCAATGCGTAAAATCATGAATTCTTCACGTGCAATCGCAGGTGTTGCCAATACATGTGAGCTTTCATCGAGACGTGTCCTTTATAAAATCTGTCCCAAAAACATTCATTCGGTGAAGGTAGCGCGAATAATTCTCATGAAACACGATGCTACAATAACGATAACACAATTGCAGAGAGGAATAGCTCTTGGAAGTTTGCAGGCGGGTACCTCCGCCACTATTGTAGCCAGGCGCTTGGGATGCCATGTACGCACTAGCACCAGGCTAGCTGGACGCTTACGACATACGGGTTCTGTTTCTGATCGTCCTTGGACAGGAAGACCAAGGGAGACAACTCAGCGTCAACGTAACAGACGTTACACAGTTTGTTGTGTTCTGCAGTGTAACATATAGGGTGGCAGCAGCGTGATGGTACGGGGAGCCTTCAGTTACCATCATCGGTCACCTCTTCGTGTCGTCCGTCAACGTGTAAAAGGAGTGTACAGGGATGACGTTCTCAGGCCTTACGTCCTTCAATTGTTTGCTGCAAAGCCGCAACTACAGTTTTACCAGCAGGACAACGCTCGTCCCGACACTGCTTGATTACCTATGAGTTTCCTTGCACAGAATACTGTGAATGTCCTCCCTTGGCCGTCTCTTTCAACGGATATGACACCAATAGAATAAGCGTGGGATGAAATTGTAAACAAACACGGAACAAACCCGAACCTCACCCACAACCCCCATCCCTTCAAATCGCAGTGTTAGTATCCCTTCATTAACGATCAGGTGTCAAAATGATCTGTCCTCCATTTTTCCAGCTATCGCAAACATTACTTTCGGTTCCCTAATAAACTGTTTGATGGTAGTAAACTTGAAATGCATTTACCCTGTGTGTTTTTTCTGGGTTCAATTGTATATCGATGTTCTGTTTATGCACTACACTTACAGGAAATAATTATTAATGAATTCAATACATTGTTGTTCTTTCACAAATTTCTAAGCGTTTTCTTGCATCCGGTGGCGACGATGACGTCATAAATCTTTCGTTTTAAAGTTTTACGCAAAATCTGTTACTCAAAACGTAATAAGTTCAACACTTATGATACTTGGTTTATAGCCAGATGGTATACTAACACAATGCACCTATCATTTACAATATATAAGCCTGATTTTACGGTCCAGTAAATTCGAAAATCAGGGATGCTGAGCTGCTAGACTTCAAAGGGTTGTGTTTAGCTTAGATTCTTATCACTAATCATGAAGTGCTATTTCAATCAATCTTAGAATAAAACCCCATGATAGAACAGACATGTAAGCTAAACAAAAGGTTACGGCACTTTATCTATTTATTTGTGTGTGAACTTATTAGACATAGATTATGAAAAATGACAACAACGTACATGGATTGTTCTATTTTTATATTTATCTTATAGTCACATTGATATAGGTATTGTATATTATAAAACAAGATTTCTTGTCCCTCCTTAAGGTGAGCGACATTTCAGAGTAAAATGTTAATTTCAGTGAATTTTATTACTATTTGTAGTTTCATGTTTTACAATGCATAATTGTAAGTGGTAACAACATATATATGGTACTTACAATTACTTTACATAAATCAATTTAGATATAAGGTATTTTGGGGTTGGGTAGCATGACGTTTCGAATATTGTCCATCTTGCCTCAAAATGGCCATACACAAGTACACTAATGAAGTAGGACAAGCGAGGGACATAATTACGCTTAATTCTTATATTTTATCCATATTTCATTGACGGAAAACAATAAAGAAAATATATCAACATACTACGTTCTGACAGAGATGATTCTCCAGGTTAACAAAGATATATATACAAAATGAAATCTGCTACAAATGCAGCTATTACGATTAACCATGTTGTAAATGATTGTACCATTGGTCTGCTAATCTATTACCATATAAAGTACTTCAGCAAATTAAGTTACCGAGATATTTTTTATGAATAATTGTGTTGTATCATAATGTATACTATATCTATGAAATTGACTTCAGCGAATTTAGTTATAGTCGAAGAAACGAACCACCAATGACATGTCAGCGTTTAACTCTCAGGATGTCATTAACAGAGACATTTGTGAAAACTCTCAGGCAGATTTCCGTTACAACTCCACAACAGAAACATCAACTCATTTGTGTTTCCGGACGAAGACCGTAAGTTTAGGTGAAAGTTCTATAATTGAATAAAATATAACATATGAAAGAGATTTAAGTTTGAATGCTGTTGCGTAAATTTCATTCATTGCACGAAATTAATAATTTAATTCAATGTTTACGATTACGACCATGGAGATGAACACCTGGCCATTCTAACGTAACACGTCTGGAGTTCGCTTCGAAATTTTTTGTCCATAAAGCCATAAACAAGGGGATTTATGGCATTGTTGAGGAATATCATCCAACGAATGAATATGTCCAAAGTTTCATAATTTTCTGCAAAGTTCTCGAACGTAGATCTGCTGATATTTCGTATCAAGGTGGTTATTAGGTAGGGGAGGTAACCCCCGAAGGAGAGAATTGACACAACTAAGAATATCATAGTTATATTTCTACTTCTGTCAAGCTTCTTTCGCTTTCTCTCATTCAATGTGTGAAGATATTTCTTTTCTGTTCCGGTCGTTGCTCGTGTCTGGTTTTCTCGCTCCGATTTGTTTCTCTTAATCTCAGGGTTACGTGGATCTGTCGTAATAACACATTTCTCTGTTACTATAGCCGATTCAGATTTGTCATTTAAAGCCTTTGTCGAGTTCATGGGCTCAACTTCAGAAGTCCTTGTTTGGTTTTCGCCGTCTTCAGATGATACTGATTTACAAACGTTTTGTTTCAATTGCGACATGGCATGCTGTTTACTTGATGTACTCGTTTTGTTCTTATGGGTGTAGATCTTCTTTCCGATCAGAATATACAGCACAACAGAGACTATCACTAAAGCTAGGAAGATGAGGAATACAAACCCCCTGTATATCTTAGTCAAAGTTGCATTTTTGAAACTTTCTAACACAGTACATTCATAACCAGTCAGTGAATGGGCCTTGGTTGTCTTCTGGTTGATTCCATAAATGATTGTTACGGGGATAACAATCACGATAACGACGAATGCGAAGTTAATAGCACACACAATACGTGTTATTTTGATGGTGAATTGGGCACGAGTAGCCTGGCATACCTTCCTATAACGTTCCACAGCTATGCAGTCCAGAAGCAGCAGTGAATATGCTCCCACGAAATAGGTAATAGCGCGGTTTATCTTACAGAACGCCAAAGACTGTATCGTGTTCGGGTGTCTGATGATGTACAGTGACGCTGGAATACAGAACGTACACCCAAGAAAATCCACCGCAGCTAAACATAGTACAAACGTTTTATAGATGTTTGATTTGTATCTCAGTAAATACACCAGAAACACGTGGACATTTCCAATTGTTCCCAGGACACACAGAACTATCAGATAAACAGTGATAGGAATGCCAGTCTTCCTGAATTCATCGTAATCTTCGTCTTCTAACGAATACGTAACATTCGTCGACAAATTCATCTTAAACCAACGATTAAGAAATCTGGCCGATGAAATATCAAATCAACACTTGTATCCTCCGAGCCCCAGTGGTACAATCCTTTATTGGGACAAACCACTTCACAGCAGGATGTGAGTAGTCCATCTAGTTTAATTGTTGTGAGATATATTTCTTGTTATCTAGTAACTTCCTGATTCGTACACATGTCCTATCTCCATCACTATTTCCAGTGACCTACGTTATCTAAAAATGCAGCAAGCAACTCGGTCAGTAGCTAAAACACAACTCAAAAATGACGCGAGCACTAACATTATATAACGTCTTTATCTATTTATTTTAAATGTAATGACTTTTCTCGTGACAGTCTGGGTGAAATTGATTCTGAGGTCAAGGGAGACACTATGAAATTGTAAACAGGAAAGAAAGTAACAGATCAAGATCGGGCCGTCTACCATCACAGAGTGGTATACAGCTGGTATATGTGACAGTGTGGCGTCACGTTATCGCTAAAAAATTATGGTCACGTGATTTCAGTGTGGTGGTATTATAAAAAGTACTATCCGTAACCTTTAAACTTCGTGGTATTTCGAGAACTTTTTAGTGGATACAATTTATGTATAACTCATGAGACTCACTGATATTAGACAGTTATGTTAATTTATTGTAGACATGTGAATTCGTGGATAAAAGGTACCCATAGAATCAACGAAAATAAATATCTCACGAAACTTGATAATTTTACAGTATCCGCTTTATTAGTTTAAAACATTTAAAACTCATTCTTACTTATAACTGGAAAGATATGGTCATCGGTTCTCGTTTGCTTTTGTCCTGGCTCATATGCATTCTCGATCGATCTGACGAATATGAAAAAAACAATATTTATAAATATTAAGTATAATGGGTCATCAATATGCAGAAGCACAAACTTTTCTTGTATAACTAGTTTTTGTATTCATACGAGACTTGACGGCTTCATTGGAGACTTTGACGGAACGGTATTAGAAACAGACCAAAATACTTAAATGTTACTGAACGAAATAATGTTGACATTGCCTCTTAACATGATTGGATGGCCATGAACATCCGTTGACGATAACATCCAGAATGTGAATTCACACACTTTTGATTCTTATGCGCAACCTACAAGGACAGCAAACCACATAAACAAACAAGAAAATTTCAATTCATGAAATGTGAATTTTTCCATTCTTGTATTGTATCGAACATGCACGTCAAAACGATGATGTTTACGTGTCGGATTTGACTAGATATTCTAGGACTTATTCACGATGGTCTGCTTAATCAAAAATTTACTTGTGATATAGGAAGTAGAGTTTCATGTTCATTTATTCCTGGTGGTTTCATTTTTAATATCCCGATTATCTTTTTGAGAGCATGTCATTAATTGAATTCGCCTAGACATATAAAGCGGGAGTTGTTTATAAAGCAAGAGACGCTCATCCTTCTGGAAAGTCTGATTTTCCCTTATCGATCTCATAGCATATTTTGGTTTGGTTTTTACTGACACTCAGTTAGACTTACGATTTTATTTACATATCGTTGTTGAGTTAACTTCAAAACACAGCAGTCCAGAATAAGCTTAGAAAGTTTCCTGATGTCTCTTTGGAATAAGAGTACTCCATTTGGCAGTCGATTTAGAGATGTGCATGTGTCTGTCCAGATACCAGAAGACATTATTCCGAAGTCTGTCCAGAAAAAGTAGTGTGCCATAAGTAATCGGGTGGTATTTGTGTGTATGTTTTACGGACGAAACATATTGAATACTAACAAAGATCACCTGATGGCTTTGTTGTTAATTCGAACATGCTCACGTGTGACAGTTGTTTACCTGTCAATGCAAGGGAGATAATTCCCGATCATTTGTTAACAATATCAATTATATCGTCTACAGACTCACGACGGAATAATACCTTCGTTACAAATTCAGAATACAGGATAGCCAAATAATTAATTGAATTGCATTATATGTTTGAACCCTAATCGGGAATTAGTCCGTTTTATATTGCAGTGGTGACATCACAACTGAGCCCTCATATGAAATGAACATTTACATATACATTCGGTGAAATGTCAAGAATTATCACTTTCATGAAAGTATTAATTTTCGCTTCATTGGAAAAAACACACCTTTTTTTATCTAGAACTTGATGGGATTTTTTTTTGACGGCTTCATGATAAAACGACCTCTCGGTGACCCTGTTACTACTAAATGGAACGTGACTTAGGTTGTTTTAATGTGTGACCTCAAGTAAGCAATTTGAATAACTTTATACAACTAACTTCGATTACCTGGTTCCTCTTCTGATAACTTACCGAATTATTCATGTTAAAGGATGAAATTAGGTTAGTTTATCGTTATGTATTATTACAATTGTCACCGAAACTCATTAATCCGAAGTCATTTACGTCTGACTAACCAAGAATTCACTCCAACGATAACATATCAAAACATTGCAAATTATGTTGATTTATTCATATGATTATTTAGTTATTTTGAAGGAAAACAGTTAAGCATTTGAAAAAAAGTTTGAAAAAAATTACCGGCATGTCAACAAAATTCATATTCAAACTAAAAAATCAAAAGAAATCAGGGCAGGATATATACCCTTCAGAATTTGATTTCAGCTTACAATTAGACCTCATCAGTGCAGCTTAAAATGTTATCTTACCACATAGCTGTCCGATGAACAAGAGTTCCAAGATTCTAAATATGAATTTGCTATTTGTTTTGTCACGCTCTATTGAAAACGATGCCGATCAGTATTGACCACGCCTAGAAGGTTGTTGACGATGGCGCATGAGACGCTCATCCTTCCGCAACTATTGGGAGTTATTCATCTTGTGTTTTATCATGGATGTTCTTATTGATAAAAATGTTTGTTATATTAATCATTCCGGCCTTCTTTTACTGGTCGACTTACTTAGAAAAAGGGCCTTATAGTGATTTAGATTTCACAATTTACACGTTTCGTTGCTCTATTGATGCTTTTTGAATCGGATACAATGACAATATTCTATAACCTCTCCAGGGAGATGGTAGTCCATACTGTTCATTGTCACGTCATGTATTTGATTGAATGATATTCGTTTATCATCTTAATTCATAAAAAACAACTTTGTCATGTTACATTTTCATCAAAATGCACCAATAGAAGACACTTAGTCCGAATTATTCTAACGTTCTTTCGCCTTTTTAAAATACCGACCTGGAGTCGATGAACGACGTCCAATGATTTCAATATATCTAGTTGATATGACGTCAGAATAAGACATTGTAAACCATGCATTGACAACGTAAGGGAGACAATCACCGAAGCAATAAAATATCGCGCCATAGTGTTTTAGTCCCATATAGTAGACATTAATGATCATGGTATCGTTTTATCATGCTGTAGCACGAGAAATCCTAAGTGGTCTATATATCCATCGCTAATGGGCACTGCCGGGCACTGTTGAGGTCTTCCAAGTAGTGTTAGTTGCTATTATACTACCAATAGTCTCGGTCAACCGATCGCTTAATTTGATAGAAAAGGAGAAAGAAGCATGTAGGCGACACCGATTGATGCCGACCATGATGAAAGACGGATACCACATGAAATGCTTGCTCTTTACATATTGTGTCGACGTCAAAGTTTAGTAGCACTTCAAGGTATTGGCTGTTAAGTGTAGCTCTAGATCTAAAAGATGTTGATAAAATCATAAACATTGACGAACAGATTAAGTCTATAATCACAAAAGTTGCGTATTCACGCTGACCATATGCATGATATGTATGCTTTTAATAATAATTTTCAAGGGAGAAATAAGTGAAACATAGTGTGTTTTGCACAATTTCAAATAGTTCATGTAGTGTTATGATTCATAAATTAAATCCATCACAGAAAAAACCACGTTGCTACCATTAACTTAACGAGGACATGTCTGGTTGTAGTAACTACAATGAGTTATCGAGGTGAGGGTAGACAGAACTCCTGGAAAAGACCTCGAGGAGGTGGTGGCTGGGGACGTGGTCGCAGATTTAGCAACAACAATGGAGAAGGTAAAGAATATATAAGCTGCATAAAATAACTTGGACAGTCCTTGTCCAGCACCTCATCACTCGGAAAACCATAAGGAAAGTGTATGCACATAAGTGCCAGAACAAGAAATTGGATATCTGGTTCATGGTTCGGTTGATACCTCCTGACAGTTTTATCCCGTTAACATATTAACAATCAAATAACTACTGTCGATTTTGTAAGGAAAAAAACCCTCTCCTCTGTTAAAATCTCTGTATCAATGATTTGTCTTGATGCAGGAGTGTAGCTAGCCGAGCAGAAATGTGTAAGCCCAGGCAAAAATGAATTTCATGATTTCAAAGATGTTTTGAATCGTTTTCTGAGACAGTTTTTTTTTCATTTACTTAACAACAAACTTCAACCCCTGATATTTATTTTCAACCTTAGTTTTGTAATTTTGTCCGACATACTCTATGCACAGATTTTTTATGTGTAAGCCCGGGATTTTTCTTTCTATGGAAGCTACGCCCCTGTGATGTCTTTATGTGTACATATGTTACTAACAATTCCAGCTGTAGAGATTTGTTCATGAACATGTGACTTTTCATAATAAATTTTAAACTAAGTTTTGCTCTGTATTTTATTGTGTTTTTGTGTATTTTCTTTCCTTCATATTTCTTCACATTTCTCCTTTATTTATTGAGTATGATAATCAAAAAAGAAATGAATGAAATGACTCAGTAACTGACAATAAGTCACTGTAAAAAACCTCTGTGTGATTTACTATTCTTCATTCATTACAGGGCAGGATGGTGATGGTGATGGTGGAAGATGGCATAGAGGAGGAGGCAGACGAGGGGGAGGTAGACGAGGCAGAGGGGAGTATGAAGATAGTGGGGGAGGACGTGGTGGCAGAGAGCGACCACCACCAGGGTTATCTGGAAGGGAAATTGGAATGTGGTATGCCAAGCGAAGTATGGCAAAGAAGGAGAAAGAAACGGTAAAATATTGATGACCTTGGTCCATCAATCAATCGACTGGTAGCAACAAATTAAACAAACTATGATGATATGTAAATTTTTAAGTGGAGAGAGTCCTCTCAAAAGTAAGACAAACAATCATGAAAATATTGATAAAAAGAATAAAATCTTTTAGAAAAAATATTAAAGTTTTAAGGTCTAAATCTTGACAAATGTAATATGCATTAGCATATGAGTTGATATGTCAAGGTCAAGGTAATGAAATTCAATAAATGCTGGTATCAGAAGTAATTCATATGGACTAAACATATTGAGAAACTGTTGACTGTATATTGTCACATGACTCTGTACATAATTAAACAGGTATTATATAACTTTTATATCTGTAGTAATATGTATCTTATCAAGACACCCTTTTGAGTAAAAGGTAAATAATTTGTTTAGTTTGGAGAAAACTTTACAGAGTTTGTTATAGGTAAAGAAAAATTTTGCTGTGATCACTTTGTTTGGCTAGTATTGAAAGAATTCTGCACAAAGGAGAGACCAGGTTAAAAGAAATTTCAATATCTGTATATATTATATCACCCCAGTTTGTCAAACTGCAGTTGATATGCATGAGTGTTTTTATGATATACACAAACATATTGAGATGTAACATATCTGGTATATACTGACCTTCAGACTGCTGTGGTAAACCTAGAAGGTAATATGGAACGTAAGATCCGTAACCTTCTTGATGATATCAACACCGCAGACAATATCCAGCCACAGCCATCAAGATCTGGTGCCTCTCTGGATGAGGATATCAGGTGGGTAGCTATGTATGGGTGGATAGGTTGCCAGGGATATGTCAGAAGACTTGATTATACCCTCAGCAACAATGTTATTGAGTTATACTGCACTGAATGAGATTGCCCATCTTTTAGTCAATCAACCTACACTGTTTCAGACAAGTCCTGAGTCTTGTGTAGTGTAAAAGAAAAAGTTGATAAATGTAACAGGTGTATGTATCAGCATTTCTATATTAAAATGTTACTGATTATGTTCCCTTAAAACAGTAAATAAAGGATTCTCAACATCATTGTTTTATGTTTACATATCCGAAGAATCTCTACTGAATACCATGTGGTATCCATCCAGGAACCTAACCGCAATCTGAGACATCAAGAGTGTTGGTTCTCCAATATTGTTTTCTCTTGATTATGTTCCTTTAACTTTTTCAAGGGTAGGGGGAAGAAGGAGGGTATAGTTGTGGCATTGTCCATCATCTGTCTTTCTGTCCATCCTTTTTGTATCCAGATCATAACTTTGCCACGTTGTGTAAGGGTCATGTAATTTGATGTGAACTTTAGTTACACCAAGATGATGAACAGTGTAGAAGATTCGAGGCCCACAACTCCTGATTTACAGAGTTATTGCCCATGTTAAAATTTTGTATCCAGCACATAACTTTACTTGCATTTTAAGTCAGATATAGAAACTTGCTGTATACATTGTTCATACTTTCACTAAGATGATATACAGTGTACTAACATCAGGGCCAAATACAAAAATCACAGACAGGAAAATCCTCCAGTAAAGTTGTTTTCAGGGAGCATTCATAAGTTCCACTGATACTCTTGTTTTAGATTTGAATTAGAATGACAGTGTTACAGGAATCAACCTTTAAATATAATAAAGCTTTTGCAGTTACATAGATTACAACATTACTTTAATATTTGTGATTGAAAGAAATAAATTTAGATCATATCCAAACAATATGTATTTAATAAAAAAAAAACTATGACATAGCTATTAAGACATGAAATAGTGACATTTCTTAAAATATATTGTGGATGAATAAAACATATTTTTAAAAAAGATAAAAGATTTACTGTAAAAGGGTGTTGCTTTTGATGCTTCAAATTCTTGTGGTTTTCCCAAAGTTTTCATTGAAGTCATTTAATGGATTATTGTTACCTTTAATTTATATTTTCAGGGTATTTATTTTTCAATTTTATACCATCCTTAAAAAATAAAGAAATAAAACCCCTTCAAAAAAAACGTACAGTATTCTGTTTACTCTGTTCATAATTTTTTTTCCTCTTGAAGTGTACCAGCTGGGCGGCCATCTACATCTTATGACGGAGGTCACAGTCAGCACACTTTCAAACGACCGAACACTGCATCAGGGTTTTCTCAGAGTCACAGATCAACAGGTGCTTGTTTTGACAGTGACAGAGGTCAAGGTTCACAGAAACATTCTGGGGTAAAAGTTACATCAGGCAGAGATGGGCACAGAACTGTTTCTTATGATGCATGGAATGATACTGATACAGACCAAATGGAGACTTCTGCCTCAGGATATAGCTCTTCAGGGGAGGAAATGGGTGACGAGGATCAGTTACTGGAGTCAGATATGGAGGATTATGATGAAGTGAATGAGATGCCAATATATGAGTCTGTCACACAGTGCAGTGTGGAGGAGAAGGCCTATATCTTTGGTGGTGAAAGAAGTGGTGGTAAGATGTCATGAGTCTATTCTTTCCTCTGTATGCCCAACAAAAATGTTGATTGGACTTACTGAACAGCTTCATCTGTCAGTTGTAAACTTTTAATCACCCAGAGATCTCCTCCCACAGTTTTCTAGCAGTCTTTTTCAAACTTTGTAGGCTTAATGACAATGACATGAAATTGTATATCCTGAATGACATTTTGATTCGACTATATTTGGAAGAGTTACTGTCCTTAGTTTGTTTCATAGCATTACTTGGTAATCTTGTCTGGAGATCTCCTCTACTAGTTTGCAACCAATTTCTTACAAACTTTGTAGGCTTTGTAACTATGACATAAAAAGGTCTCTTGATTTGCCCAGTGCCAATACCAAATTTAACAGATTTTTTAACCTTTGCTGCTCCAGTCATTTCTGCAGATGTAATTATTTGAGAAAACAACTGACAAATATTATTTTTCTACACAATAGTTCAATTTAACTGTTTTTGAAAGAATGATTATCTATTGGTTTTAAACATTTTTAGCCCCAACCATCATCATATGGTTGGCTATTCAAACTGACCAACGTCCATGGTCTGTAGTCTGTTTGTAAACAATTTTTGTTCTTGCTATTTCTTGAGAAGTACTGGACGGATCTTTCTCATATTTCATATGTAGATTTCCCTTGGTCCTTAGTTGTGCCCAGTTGATTTTGGGACTGATCAGAAAAACAAAACAGGCAGCCATCTTGGTTTCCACCTAGTAAAGATTGTTATCCGAATTTCTTGAGAAGTACTGAATGAATCTCTCTCAAATTTTATACATATGCTCCCTTTGGTTTCTTTTTGTGCCTTTTTGATTTTGGAACTGATCAGTAAACAATCGAAAGGCAGAGAAGCGACCATCTTGGAATTCAACAATGACAATTGTTACCGCTGTCTTTTGGAGAGTCCTGGATGGATCTCTCTCAGATTTCGTATGTAGGTTCTGCTTAATCCCAGGTTTTACTTATTTGATTTTGGGATTGATAAGAGAAATAAAGTGGCTGTCAGGCAACCATCTCAGATTTGGCAGTTAATGACTATTATCACTATTTCTTCAAAGGAATGTTCCGAAAAGATAGGAAAAGATCCACTATTTAAAATATGAATGAAGATCAAACAAAGGTGGGCACCAAGATCCCTCTTGGATCTCTTGTAACTTTGTACAAAATTATCCTTCCTAAGATTTAAACAAGTTTCTCTGAAATTTGGCAAATTTCATTACCATTACATGACATTATGTTTTCCTTGATGACGTTGTGATTTTACTATTTAAAGAGAAGTCATTGCTCTGGGGTCCTCACTTATATATCTCTCCCCTGAGATACCACCTCCCTGAGACACTATCTCCCTGAGATACCACCTCCCTCAGATGCCACCTCCCTCAGATACCACCTCCCTCAGATATCACTTCCCTGCGATACCACCTCCCTCAGATACCACCTCCTTCAGATATCTCTTCCCAGAGATATTACCTCCCTCAGATACCACCTCCCTCGGATATCTCTTCTCTGAGATACCACCTCCCTCAGATATTACCTCCCTCAGATACCACCTCCCTCAGATATCTCTTCCCTCAGATATCTCTTCCCTCAGATACCACCTCCCTCAGATATTCCTCCCTGAGATACCACCTCCCTCAGATATCTCTTCACTGTGATACCACCTCCCTCAGATATCTCTTCCTTGAGATACCACCTCCCTCAGATATCTCTTCCCTGAGATACCACCCCCTTCAGATACCACCTCCCTCAGATACCACCTCCCTCAGATATCTCTTCCTTGAGATACCACCTCCCTCAGATATTCCTCCCTGAGATACCACCTTCCTGAGATATCTCTTCACTGAGATATCACCTCCCACAGATATCTCTTCCCTGAGATACCACCCCCTTCAGATACCACCTCCCTCAGATACCACCTCCCTCAGATATCTCTTCCCTGAGATACCACCCCCTACAGATACCACCTCCCTCAGATACCACCTCCCTCAGATATCTCTTCACTGTGATACCACCTCCCTCAGATATCTCTTCCTTGAGATACCACCTCCCTCAGATATCTCTTCCCTGAGAGACCACCCCCTTCAGATACCACCTCCCTCAGATACCACCTCCCTCAGATATCTCTTCCTTGAGATACTTCCTCCCTCAGATATTCCTCCCTGAGATACTACCTCCCTCAGATATCTCTTCGCTGAGATACCACCTCCCACAGATATCTCTTCCCTGAGATACCACCCCCTTCAGATACCACCTCCATCAGATACCACCTCCCTCAGATATCTCTTCCCTGAGATACCACCCCCTTCAGATACCACCTCCCTCAGATATCTCTTCCCTGAGATATCAACCCCTTCAGATACCACCTCCCTCAGATACCACCTCCCTCAGATATCTCTTCCCTGAGATACCACCTCCCTCAGATACCACCTCCCTGAGATATCTCTTCCCTGAGATACCACTTCCCTCAGATATCTCTTCCCTGAGATACCACCTCCCTCAGATATCAACTCCCTCAGTTTTTAAGCAATTGCCTTGAAACTGAGTATGGCTTTAAACAACAACAGGAAATTGTGTTCTTATGAACAGCATATTGACTGAACAATGTTTCATAATGTTTTTTCTCCTTTGATCTTTCATTAGCATCTTAATCTTGTCAAGTTAGGGAATCAATTACAAGGAGTAACTTACTCTGAAGCTGTTGCGATTGATTCCCTAACTTGAATTTCTCTACTGCGCAATCACCGTACATACTTCCTGGTTTCCCGCGGAGCAGTAAACGAATCCTCTATTCTATGTACGAATCTGAACGGCATTGGCTCTATCACCAAATCCTTCTTAATCTTGTCAAGATATTTCATCTTTCAGTTTTCAACCAATCTTTTTAAAATTTAGTATACTTAAAAAAAAACATACAGCACTGTTTTCCCCTCTTGATATGTTGACTTACTGTTACAATTTTAATGTTTTTATCCTATTTGGTACAATGAGTTATGGATATTTATTTGGTATGGGACAGGGATATTACATTCTGCCCTGTAATACTCTTGTTAATTCAAATTCAAACTCAAATATCAATAAAGTGACAATAAAGTACAAAGATGAAAAAATTATTGCGAGGGAAAGTATTTAACTATTCTCTATGGTGGAATTAACAGTCACTAACTAGGCTGTTTGTCTTAGCTAAATGTGTATACTTTACGTAATTTGTTTCCAAATCAGGATAAATAAATTCAGGAAAATGTTCCTAATTTGGGAGGAAGGAGGACAATATTTTCCAATTTACTCATGCAGTTTGCTGTTACATCCAGAGAGAAAACCACTGACAGTGACAAGTATTTTCTAATTAAACAGACCCACAAGTACATGCAGGAATACCCAGCAACCCAAGTTTAGATGCATTTTTATCCAAGGAAGCAGAGCACAGGCAGACAGACAAAAACTTTATCAAGATGATGGACTTCAGAAAAAAACTGCCTTCTTATGACAAGAGACAGGTAAGTAATACATCCATTTAAGATTAATGTTGGGTTCTGCTTTCAGCTCTGAGTAACTCACATACTAGGTAATTTTTATATGGTGATTTTAAAGATGGCTGTTTACCCCCTAATTTTATATTAGAGATTAAATAGATAAAATGAGGATGGGTACTAATATGTAAGATAAAAAAAAACACATACTCAAATTTTCACAACAAGAAACAATATCTTAATGTATTACACATAACGATGCATCTATAATGCATTTTCTTTTTTTTTTTCTTCTGTCTCATAAGAGGGAGTTCAGTGTTAGGCTGATCAATTCCTTAAACATTTAGAAATGTTTGTCCTTTAGAACTTTTCTTTTTTTCCTAAGTACTTCAGACAAAACAGAAGTTTAGAACTCACTTCCACTAGCGATTTCGTATAATTACAGTTTGTGCCTCCGTTTGTCCAAACTTTCATGCTTCCATAGCAAAAGTCTTGTGTACAAATTATCTTGTGAATCCCACTATAGATTAAGTTTATTATCCCTAGTGTGATTACATAACTTTCAAAACTTATTAGATTTTCATGATTATCAGCCAAGCTTAAAGGGACAAAGGTCATATTTGACCACTTTCCAAATAAAAAAGTTTATTGTGTGCAGGGTTTTTCATGGACACCTAAAAAGATCAAGTTCGTAATTCTATTCAGGATAAGATTTTGGTGGTCATCGGTTTAAATGGGCATATTCAAACATAACCATTTTTAAATACGTGACTGTTCTGTCATTACTGTGTTGTATCTATGCTTTCTCTTATTGATACAGGAAATGTTAAAAGCATTGAAATCTCACCAGTGCCTGGTAATCAAAGGAGAGACGGGCTGTGGAAAGACTACACAGGTAAGTATTTATATAATGCCAACAACAAAATTACAGGGTATACTACACAGGCAAGTATTTATATAATGCCAACAACAAAATAACAGGGTGTACTACACAGGTAAGTGTTAATTTAATGCCAACAACAAAATTACAGGGTATACTACACAGGTAAGTGTTTATATAATGCCAACAACAAAATAACAGGGTGTACTACACAGGTAAGTGTTAATTTAATGCCAACAACAAAATTACAGGGTATACTACACAGGCAAGTATTTATATAATGCCAACAACAAAATAACAGGGTGTACTACACAGGTAAGTGTTAATTTAATGCCAACAACAAAATTACAGGGTATACTACACAGGTAAGTATTTATATAATCCCAACATCAGAATTACAGGGTATACTACACAGGTAAGTATTCATATGCCAACAACAAAATTACAGGGTTTACTACACAGGTAAGTATTTATATAATCCCAACAGCAAAATTACAGGGTATACTACACAGGTACGTATTTATATAATCCCAACAACAAAATTACAGGGTATACTACACAGGTAAGTATTTATATAATTCCAACAGCAAAATTACAGGGTATACTACACAGGTAAGTATTTATATAATCCCAACAGCAAAATTACAGGGTATACTACACAGGTAAGTATTCATATGCCAACAACAAAATTACAGGGTTTACTACACAGGTAAGTATTTATATAATCCCAACAGCAAAATTACAGGGTATACTACACAGGTAAGTATTCATATAATCCCAACAGCAAAATTACAGGGTATACTACACAGGTAAGTATTCATATAATCCCAACAGCAAAATTACAGGGTATACTACACAGGTATGTATTTATATAATCCCAACAACAAAATTACAGGGTATACTACACAGGTAAGTATTTATATAATCCCAACAGCAAAATTACAGGGTATACTACACAGGTAAGTATTTATATAATCCTAACATCAGAATTACAGGGTATACTACACAGGTAAGTATTCATATGCCAACAACAAAATTACAGGGTTTACTACACAGGTAAGTATTTATATAATCCCAACAGCAAAATTACAGGGTATACTACACAGGTAAGTATTCATATGCCAACAACAAAATTACAGGGTTTACTACACAGGTAAGTATTTATATAATCCCAACAGCAAAATTACAGGGTATACTACACAGGTAAGTATTTATATAATCCAACAACACAATTACACGTTTTACTACAAATGTATGAATTTATATTATCCCAACATCAAAATTACAGGGTATACTACACAGGTAAGTATTCATATGCCAACAACAAAATTACAGGGTATACTACACAGGTAAGTATTTATATAATCCCAACAGCAAAATTACAGGGTATACTACACAGGTAAGTATTTATATAATCCCAACAACAAAATTACAGGGTATACTACACAGGTAAGTATTTATATAATCCCAACAGCAAAATTACAGGGTATACTACACAGGTAAGTATTTATATAATCCCAACAGCAAAATTACAGGGTATACTACACAGGTAAGTATTTATATAATCCCAACATCAGAATTACAGGGTATACTACACAGGTAAGTATTTATATAATCCCAACAGCAAAATTACAGGGTATACTACACAGGTAAGTATTTATATAATCCCAACAGCAAAATTACAGGGTATACTACACAGGTAAGTATTTATTAATCCCAACAACAGAATTAGGAGGTATATTAAAGAGATAAGAATTAACACAATACCTGTAAGAAAGATATTGTGTATTTTATACACAGGTAAGTATTTATATAATCATAACAAAATTATAGGGTTTATTAAAGGGATAAAAATTAACACAATACCCACAAGAAAAGTAAGACTATGTCTTGTCAAGATAACACACAACCTGACTACACAGTGAGTGATAAGTGTTGGACTCAATTACTTGTATAAATGTGAAGATCTCACACAACCTGACTACACAGTGAGTGATAAGTGTTGGACTCAATTACTTGTATAAATGTGAAGATCTCACACAACCTGACTACACAGTGAGTGGTAAGTGTTGGACCCAATTACTTGTATAAATGTGAAGATCTCACACAACCTGACTACACAGTGAGTGGTAAGTGTTGGACCCAATTACTTGTATAAATGTGAAGATTTCACACAACCTGACTACACAGTGAGTGGTAAGTGTTGGACTCAATTACTTGTATAAATGTGAAGATCTCACACAACCTGACTACACAGTGAGTGGTAAGTGTTGGACTCAATTACTTGTATAAATGTGAAGATCTCACACAACCTGACTACACAGTGAGTGTTAAGTGTTGGACTCCATTACTTGTATAAATGTGAAGATCTCACACAACCTAAAGTGACTACACAGTGAGTGGTAAGTGTTGGACTCAATTACTTGTATAAATGTGAAGATCTCACACAACCTGACTACACAGTGAGTGGTAAGTGTTGGACTCAATTACTTGTATAAATGTGAAGATCTCACACAACCTGACTACACAGTGAGTGTTAAGTGTTGGACTCAATTACTTGTATAAATGGGAAGATCTCACACAACCTAAAGTGACTACACAGTGAGTGGTAAGTGTTGGACTCAATTACTCGTATAAATGTGAAGATCTCACACAACCTGACTACACAGTGAGTGGTAAGTGTTGGACTCAATTACTTGTATAAATGTGAAGATCTCACACAACCTAAAGTGGCTACTCAAACTTGGCCTGGTTTCTGTAGATAGCTGTAGATTATCATGCTCAAATGATTTCTAATACAGTCACAGGCAATCCTATTTTCTTTAATAAAATCTAGAACTTCACCTCTAGTGTTTGATGTATTCTGTTGTGTAAAGTTGGAATTAATATCTTGGTCCTTTTGCTTATAATTTCATGATGAATATGTTACTACGTGTACATGAATGTCAATAATCAAGACAAGCTATCATAAATATTGTAGTTTATGACAAACCAATGAAAAAGTAAGAAAACAAAATTTTAAAAACAGGAGCCAATTTTAAATATATTTTGAAGCCAGGTTTAATAATTCAGTCTTTTGAAAAGGGATATTTTAAAAGAAGTATCGTAAACTGGGTACAAATTTCTCGGTTTAGCCTTTCAATCCTCAATAATGTGGATAAACTATTCCCACAGCAAATTTCTACTGTTGTCACGGACACTTAAATTCTGAAAGCGAGTTGATGGTAAGAAAGTTAAGTCATCATTTTCAAATATTAAGATATAAACACTTGACAAACAGCTTGTCAGCTCACCTGCCTGTTGTTATCATTGTCAAACCATAATGGTATCCTTTCTGATATATCAGTGTTGTAAATTTCTGATTCAGGGATTTCCGTAATTTTGTTAATAGTAGAAAAAAAGTAAAAAAAGAATCAACAAAATAGCCGCATAAAAAAATCTTACATATCAATTTCAGGTGCCTCAGTATATTTTGGATGACTTTATATCCCAGGGGAAGGGATCACAGTGTAAAGTCATATGTACACAACCTAGAAGGATAAGTGCTGTGTCAGTAAGTACATCAATGTTTGTGTAGGGGGAGGGGATCAGTGCTGTGTCTGTAAGTACATCAATGTTTGTGTAGAGGGAGGGGATCAGTGCTGTGTCTGTAAGTACATCAATGTTTGTGTAGAGGGAGGGGATCAGTGCTGTGTCTGTCAGTGTTTGTGTACATGCTGTGTCTGTTTGTGTAATGTTTGTGTAGAGGGAGGGGATCAGTGCTGTGTCTGTAAGTACATCAATGTTTGTGTGTAGAGGGAGGGGATCAGTGCTGTGTCTGTAAGTACATCAATGTTTGTGTAGAGGGAGGGGATCAGTGCTGTGTCTGTAAGTACATCAATGTTTGTGTAGAGGGAGGGGATCAGTGCTGTGTCTGTAAGTACATCAATGTTTGTGTAGAGGGAGGGGATCAGTGCTGTGTCTGTGTTTGTGTAGAGGGATGGGATCAGTGCCGTGTCCGTAAGTACATCAATGTTTGTGTAGAGGGATGGGATCAGTGCCGTGTCCGTAAGTACATCAATGTTTGTGTAGAGGGAGGGGATCAATGCCGTGTCCGTAAGTACATCAATGTTTGTGTAGAGGGATGGGATCAGTGCTGTGTCTGTAAGTACATCAATGTTTGTGTAGAGGGAGGGGATCAGTGCTGTGTCTGTAAGTACATCAATGTTTGTGTAGTACATCAATGGGAGGGGATCAGTGCTGTGTCTGTAAGTACATCAATGTTTGTGTAGAGGGAGGGGATCAGTGCTGTGTCTGTAAGTACATCAATGTTTGTGTAGAGGGAGGGGATCAGTGCTGTGTCTGTAAGTACATCAGTGCTGTGTCTGTAAGTACATCAATGTTTGTGTAGAGGGAGGGGATCAGTGCTGTGTCTGTAAGTACATCAATGTTTGTGTAGAGGGAGGGGATCAGTGCTGTGTCTGTAAGTACATCAATGTTTGTGTAGAGGGAGGGGATCAGTGCTGTGTCTGCTGTGTCTGTAAGTACATCAATGTTTGTGTAGAGGGAGGGGATCAGTGCCGTGTCTGTAAGTACATCAATGTTTGTGTAGAGGGAGGGGATCAGTGCTGTGTCTGTAAGTACATCAATGTTTGTGTAGAGGGAGGGGATCAGTGCATGTGTTTGTGTAGTAGAGGTCTGTAGGGGATCAGTGCTGTGTCTGTAAGTACATCAATGTTTGTGTAGAGGGAGGGGATCAGTGCTGTGTCTGTAAGTACATCAATGTTTGTGTAGAGGGAGGGGATCAGTGCTGTGTCTGTAAGTACATCAATGTTTGTGTAGAGGGAGGGGATCAGTGCTGTGTCTGTAAGTACATCAATGTTTGTGTAGAGGGAGGGGATCAGTGCCGTGTCTGTAAGTACATCAATGTTTGTGTAGAGGGAGGGGATCAGTGCCGTGTCTGTAAGTACATCAATGTTTGTGTAGAGGGAGGGGATCAGTGCCGTGTCTGTAAGTACATCAATGTTTGTGTAGAGGGAGGGGATCAGTGCTGTGTCTGTAAGTACATCAATGTTTGTGTAGAGGGAGGGGATCAGTGCTGTGTCTGTAAGTACATCAATGTTTGTGTAGAGGGAGGGGAGGGTGTCTGTAAGTACATCAATGTTTTTGTAGATGCCGTGTCTGTGTACATCAATGTTTGTGTAGAGGGAGGGGATCAGTGCCTGTTTGTGTAGAGGGAGGGGATCAGTGCTGTGTCTGTAAGTACATCAATGTTTGTGTCGTGGATGTCCTAGCCTTCATTTTTGCTTATCCCTCATGAGTGCCTCCCCCCTCCCCTTGGATCTATTTTAATGTTTCTCAAAGAAATTGTTTACTCGGTGAGAAATTGTAGGACAAAATCATAATATGGAAACATACAGTAAAGAACATAATGATTTTGCTCTTTGATGTCAGGTCGCAGAACGAGTGGCGGACGAGCGAGGACAGAATGTGGGATGTGACGGCGATATAGGATACTCTATCAGGCTGGAGAGGTAGGAACAAAATATAAAATTACAGATGATAGGGGTTTTTGTGAAGCCTGCAGAGCTAGCGGACACTAAGGGATCACTTTGTCCGTCGTCACCTGTTGTCTGAACGAAAGTTTTCTGGACTTTTTTCGGTAATGCTTTGAGTTATCAAAATGAAATTTGGCATATTGCTTTTCGTTGCAAGGGTACAGATTAAGTTCGATTCCCGGCTGTCTGTGACCCTTTTTGGCTGAGTTATGTCCCTTTCAACTTAGAAAATTTAATGAGAATATTGTTTTCCTGACTTTTTTGGCTTATGCTTTGAGTTATAGAAATGACATTTGCTATGTGCTGTCAGTGACTGAGTTATGCCCCTTAGAACTTGGAAAATTTCTCAGGAATATTGCTTTGTGCAGTTTTCCCTTTATGCTTCAAGTTATAGAAGTGAAATTTGGTATTACAACTTTTTGGTTGATAGTTACACATCCAGTTCAATTTCTGGGTGACCGTGACACTTTATGCAGGCGACACATACAGTTCCGAGGAACTCTTGTGATTGGTTTGTCCTGAATAGTATGATTAATAACACATTTAAGTTGGTACCTTTCAAAACTGAATTTTTTGCACATCAATTTTCCTATTTTTATATGCCTGTCAATATTTATGTTATGGCAGTGTCCATCTGTTAATTTTTATCCAGACATCACTTGCCACAGTTTCAACATATCTTTTTCAAACTTTGTAGGCTTAATCACTGTAACAAGAAGTTGGTTTTGCTGATTTGCAGTTTGATTCAGATGTATTTTGAAGAGTTGGTCATAATTTAAATCTAATCAGGAGATTTGTCAGAAACCAGTTTCTTTGAAACTTTGTACACTTATTTACCATGACATCAAGTTGTGTTTTCTGAAAATCAGTTTGATTCAACTGAAAATAGGAGAGTTCTTTCAAACTCTAAAGACTAATTTACTTTGGGATGAAATTGTTTTTCATCATAGAAGTTTGATACAAAAATTCATGAAGGAGTTACCCCTCTTAGCTTTCTTAGCATTTTAATTTGATACAAAGATCTCCTTTCTTGATTTTAAACCAATTTCTCTCAAACATATTTGGCTTTATAACCATTACTTGAAATTGTGTTTTCCTCAATGGCATTGAGAATTTACAATTTATGGAGGAGTTATTGCCCTTTGTTTTTTCAGCATTTCTATATTGTCACAACATTTCCTCCCTCATGTTTTCAGCTATTTCATTGAAACATGGTAGGCTTTAAAGTTTCAATATCAGACCATGATCTCATGGTCAACAGAGTTATTTCCCTTTGTTCTTTCAGAGCTTTAAACTTGTACTGAGATTTCTTCTTTCAGTTTTCAACCATTTTCTTCAAAACTTAGTATTTTTTATTATGATTAAAACTCAGTTTTTGTCCTTCTTGACATTTTAAGGCAAAACAAAATGGTCAACAGATTGTAATAGCTTGTACACAGATTTTTTAATTTTCAAAAGTGGAAAAATAACCTTTGACCATCAGAGAATGGCATTTGATCAATGTTAGCCATTGCTCATTTGATCCTTTTTCTTTTATACTGGTTCTTTGTTAGGTGGATGGGATGGAATGAGGTCAAATAGTTCTCCAAGGAAAATAGATGCAATTTTGTTAAACTGTATTTTAGCATTATTCTTATCTTTTTTTACAGAAAATTACCTCGGAGTAGTGGGTCTGTTCTATACTGTACCACTGGTATACTGTTGAAATACTTGGAGTTTGACCCGTAAGTTTGTAGTTATATGTCGTCTTAATACGTTTGTCAGTTTTCAAAAGACGAAATGTTTTCTGACATAAACAATTATTTTTGTCACTAAAGAATTTTATCATAAATACTCTAATCACATAATAATGTATCAATATAGAGAGATATGTATTCCTAGAGGTCCATCCTTATATACCCAAATATGTTAATAGCACATTTAACAATATCTACCAAATCCAAATTTGAACAGGATCTGACCATTATAATTAACAGTATTTGTAAATTGTATCAAGATTGTGCAAGAGAAAACACAAGTGAATACCACCACTAAATACACATTAAGATAAGGTCTTGAACAGCCAAACCATGAATTAAACTGCATCATGCAGCTGTTTTGTCCTTCTAGGGCCCAACATTGGTGCTAAGGGCCAAAATGTTAAACCTAGGAGGCAACTGAGGAAAATTTGGCTGCATATTAGCTTTTTCTTTATAAAGATACCGGGTATATATATTCACAAAGATTAAAGCATTATAAAATTTATGTTTTCAACAGTGAAATGAAATTTAAATTAAGAACTTGTATTTTTAAATAATCGACAATGATCTTAGAGATGTTATCGTGGAAAAATGAATTTTAAAATCAAATGAAGGATTTGAACATTCTAAACTTTATAATAAAAAGGTAAGATTACAAACCATCTGTAATGTCATCCCAGAATCCCCGCCCAGAATATTGGAAAGGAACTTCAGTAATCAATAAACAGTAGGCTGTATAAATAACCCACCATAATGAAATGTTGGACGAGACAAATTATCCTGTGTCCATGGTCGTTTATAATCATGATATTGGAAGTCTCTGTGTTAAAATAAGTCCCTGTGTTGAAACAAATCCCTGTGTTTAAACCAGTCTCTATGTTAAATCAAGTCCTGATGCTAATAATGTGTCTATGTTACAACAAATTCCTGCGTTAAAACAAATCCCTGTGCTGAAACAAGTCCCTATGTTAAATCAAGTCCTGATGCTAAAAATGTGTCTATGTTACAACAAGTCATTGTGCTAAAACAAGTCCCTGTGTTAAACATGTGCCTGGACGTGGTAAGGATTATGAAAAGAACATTTTGTAGTTTGATAAGGATTTTGTTAAAAAGAAACGAATCATTTATCCCTAAATGTGTATTGCAGTAGGTCCCTATCCTGCAATGAGGGTCTTTTTTGAAATGATTGATATATATTGATGATATGTTTGAACAGGTACTTGAGACAAGCCAGCCATATTGTTGTGGATGAGATTCATGAGAGAGATCTGTTGTCAGACTTCCTCCTCATCATCCTGAAAGACCTTCTCCCCAAACGACCTGAACTCAAGGTCATTCTGATGAGTGCGACCTTGAATGCTGAGCAGTTCTCAAATTATTTCCGTGAGATATATTTATGATACATGGTCAGCTTTGTACAAAACAAGGTAGCATTGGTTAAAATAATAATAACAGCTAACCTTTAGGAGGTCAGTTATACTTTACAAGGTGACAGGGGTCACATGTAAAAAATATTTTGTAATCATCATATAAGGCCCAGACTGTGTGATTGTGATACATCTTTACCTCCAGTATTGAAGTAAAATCTATTCAGTCTTGGTGACAAACAAGTTGGTTGTCCCCTTTGTCACCCAATAATCACACAGATTCTGGCCATATTTTGGTCTTTAAAATGTTTCCCCTTTGGTACATATATCACACATGTTTAGTGTCTTCTAAACATTTTCTACATTTTCTGTCAAAAGATGACTGCCCTATGCTGGATATTCCTGGATTTACATATCCTGTCACAGAGTACTGGCTAGAAGATGCTATAGAAATGACGAGGTAAGTGGCTAGGATTCTTAATTAGTCCCCTGCTCGACAGCGTGGGGAAGGGGAATCCATCTTTTTTAGAACGAAAATGGGTCTTTGCCCCCGGGATGATAAGGACAGGGACAGGATTCTGTCTCAGTTTTGTCTGAAGCGTCCTAGGGTGAAGAGGAATCAATTTTGTATAGAGGTTGGATCTTGGCCCCTTGAGTTGGAGGGGCAGGGCCCAATAGGGGAAATATGGCCAATTTTCTTTAATCTTTCCTTTTCTGTTGGAATTTCAGAATTCTGTCCCAAATTAGTCTGAAGCATTCTTGAGTGAATTTTAATCACTTTTGTATAAACAGAAGGACTGGAGGGGAGGGGCTGAATAGGGGAAATTGAGAAAATTGTTTAAAACTCTTTAATTTCTATAGGAATGCCAGAATTCTTTCAGTTTTGTCTGAAGGGAACCACTGGTTTCCTCTTGATAAGTCAATAAGGTCTGTCCATTCGTCCATCTGTCTGCCTTATCATGAGTCATTCTGTCTTATGTCCTTCAGATGACTTAATGAATTTAGCTGATTTCTTATGGAGTTTTTCATTATTAGTATTCTTCATACTTATTACTTTTTATTTAGTACTTGTGATTTGAGTTTATCTTTTTGTCATTTACTTTAACCGAAACCAACAAAATTTGACAGATAAAATGAATTGATCTAAATCATCACATATTTTCAGGTGAAAAGATTCTTTTTGACTATGTCTGCATCCAGTGCATAGAATAACAACAGAGTTAAACATTGCTACACAACTGTATCCTGTTTTTTCTAATTTTAAACTCTGTTGTAAGCATGCTAGCTTTTTCAACTGGTTTTATGAATTTAATTGGAACCATTATTATGGCCACTTGAAGAGATGTGCTTGCAAAAAGCATTTCTTTTGTATTAGTTTATTTTGATGATTTGTATGAAATACTTTCTTCACAGCTACGAACCTAAGGAAGGAAGCCGGAAAAAGCGGCCTTCACATTTTAACCGTAAAAAGGCTGAAGAGCAACAACGTGAATCAGAGGAAATGTCATCTTGGGTTAAAACACTTGACACAGCAAAGTAAGGCCAAATAAAATTAATCTGAGACAGAAACCTAAGTATGTGGTTACAACTCCACAACTGCCAGAGAGCATGCTCTTTGGTTCTTTATTTGGTAGCATCACTTAATATTTAAATCTAGTTACAATAGATCCACAATATGATATAAAATAACACACAATGGTAGTTATGACGGTAAAAGTGCTTTAAATGCTTTTTTGATGGAAACCAATACAAATATGAATAAAGTTTGTATTGATCATTAATAAAAGTTTTTTGTATGGGATGTTTTCATTTGACTACATTTTGCAGTTTATGTTACTTTTCTGAAAGCAAAATGTAAATGCCTGAATATCAAGCCAGACAAAATTTTAATCAACAGTTTAAACAGAACATACTAATTCATAATGCTGTGTGTCCACTAGTCTATACATTAGAGTACTACTGGTGATAATTCTTTAAAGGATAGGATGTTAATTTTTCATTGTTTTTTTATATAAAAAAAATGTATTGTATAGGTACTCTCGTGCAACTCAGAGGGCTTTAGTAAACATGGAAATGGAAGATGTGGACATCGAACTCATTCACCAAGTCATTCATCACATCTGCTTTAAAATGGATGGTGTAAGTGGTTTTAACTTGGATAATATCTCTGTTGACAGATATTTGTTTTCTACAAAAAATTTGTGACAGATTTACACAATCATTCCCCTTCCTAAAATTTTTTCCTTTCCTGAGAACAACATAAACATTTTTCCCCTCCTGAGAATAACACCAACAATTCTTTCTGTCCTCCAAACAAGTGTTCACAATCATTCCCCTCTCCTAAAATAATATGTTTTCACAATCATCGTACACAAACGTAAGTGAAGATCAAAGGGATATATGTGGTTAGATAATCCCAACTTGCAGGAGTTGGCATTAAAACAGAGAATATAGACCGTATTGTGCTATTGTGCTTGTGTCCTTGGGCAAAACATTTTACCCAATGTGATGGACAGCTTATGATGATCTAATTGTATCACAGGATGTTGCTATTTTTTACATTATATTACAGAACAGGGCTATTTTGTACATTATATTACAGAACAGGGCTATTTTGTACATTATATTACAAAACAGGGCCATTTAGAACAGGGCTATTTTGTACATTATATTACAGAACAGAGCTATTTTGTACATTATATTACAGAACAGGGCCATTTTGTACATTATATTACAGAACATTGCTATTTTTTACATTATATTACAGAACAGGGCTATTTTGTACATTATATTACAGGACATTGCAATTTTGTATATTGTATTAAAGAATGGGGCCATTTTGTACATTATATTACAGGACATTGCTATTTTGTACATTATATTACAAAACAGGGCCATTTAGAACAGGGCTATTTTGTACATTATATTACAGGACATTGCAATTTTGTACATTATATTACAGAACAGGGCCATTTTGTACATTATATTACAGAACAGGGCCATTTTGTACATTATATTACAGAACAGGGCCATTTTGTACATTATATTACAGAACAGGGCCATTTTGTACATTATATTACAGAACAGAGCTATTTTGTACATTATATTACAGAACAGGGCCATTTTGTATTTTATATTACAGAAATAAAAAATCTGAACACAAGTTTGTCATTATATTACAGAACAGGGCCATTGTGTGTGACATTATATTACAGAACAGAGCTATTTTGTACATTATATTACAGTGATAAATATCAGAGCTATTTTGTACTTTATATTACAGAACAGGTTGAATTTATCATTTTGTAAATTATATTACAGGACATTGCTATTTTGTACATTATTTTTCTAGAATGGGGCCATTTTGTACATTATATTACAGGACATTGCTATTTTGTACATTATATTAAAGAATGGGGCCATTTTGTACATTATATTACAGGACATTGCTATTTTGTATATTATATTAAAGAATGGGGCCATTTTGTACATTATATTACAGGACATTGCTATTTTGAACATTGTATTACAGGACGGGGCTATTTTAGTATTTGTGCCTGGTATGACAGAAATAAAAAATCTGAACACAAGTCTTGTCAGTACTCCAGCTTTCAACAACAGTAAGTATTGTGTGTGAAATGTCTACACTTACAGTAATTATCACAACTAGCAATGAACATTTGTGTATTTTAAATGTGTCTTGATACATATATTCACCAATGTGATAAATATCCTGAATTGATATGATCAATTTTGTAGGCCCTACAATAATATCATTGTCTGATGTAGATGTTGAATTTATCATCTGGTTTCCTGTAAAATATTCATGAAAACCAAAGGATGGGTTGTATAGTGTGACTTGAACATTTTTCTAGTATCTGTGGGTAAAAAAAACTTTGAGTGTAAATACTTTCATGCTGATTGATGTATAATTGAAGGAAACTTTACATCAGTAGTAAATGTTAGAAATCTCCTCCACAGGTAACTTTCGGATTATTCCTCTTCATTCCCTGATGCCTACTGTAAACCAGAGAGAGGTGTTTGAGAGACCTCCACCAGGAGTGAGGAAGATCATTATAGCAACCAACATAGCAGAGACAAGGTATTGTTATGACTGGTTGATCAGTCTTGTATATCCAGCCACAGGCTTATATTTCGTTCTCTCACCATGACAAAGGAGCACAAAGAGGACTTAGGTCTTCAAAATTTAAAGTTCTACTTTAGCAGTAACCATAGATCTTAGGATGCACAACTCATTTTAGGACAAAACAAGAGAGATTTGGGTACTGAATATAAATCTGAATATTTATTTTCAAGTGTATTGTCTAACTTTTTTGCAGCATCACTATAGACGATGTGGTATTTGTGGTGGACTCCGGGAAAATAAAGATCAGTGGCTACCAACCTGAGAATAATCTCGCCACGCTGTCAACCGAATGGGTATCCAAGGCCAACGCACGACAAAGGCGTGGTAGAGCTGGGCGGTCAGTATTTTGTAGAAAGTAGAGTTTTGAAACAGGTTTTCTAAACAACGAACAGTCAATGTGCATGATGTGTTCTCAGATTTGTTATTGGTAAATTTTGATCATAATGATGCAAATTGAGTTAAATTAATGGCACAGACCAAAACTTGTTAAAATTGATATGTGAACCAATTAATGTAAAAACAAAAACCATTAATGATAAGCCCTTTTTATGTTACTATCATGGTCTTTGTTCCATTGAATCTATAGTACTCTCTTAAAGTAGTGTTGTTACTTTTTCCTTAAGAACTAATTATAATGAAGGGGTCTTTTGGAAAGGTTTGGACCATATCTGTAGTTGGTCCTACCTGCATGTTTTACAATTTTAATGAATTAGTCATGGTATTAACAAGTTGGTATACAGATCATTGTTAATTGTTACAGTAGTAACCATCAGACAGTATAAGTGCCCTATAAGCTGTATGAAATTACAGATTTCTCTAATATTGTAAACCAAACCGCTGCTTTGGTTAGGTATTGGTGTTATTTTCTTATCCCTATTCCACGACATCTCCTGGTTGGCAGGTCAGTGGTGATCTATCACTGCTCCCTGTTGCCTGGTCTCCAGTATTGCTCAACATAACCAGCATGATGCTCTCTCTGCCTTCTCAGCTATGGTCTTAATAGCTGCCTTTCGCATTGCTCTTGTCAGTCCCACTTTCTGGATCAACTTTCATACTGAGTGTGTGGGGAACCCTCTGGCACTGACCTCTACCTGAAACAGCCAGGCACTCCATCCCTTCAATCTTCACTGCTCTGTTAGTTCGCCTCATAAATAGTTCAGAACGATAGTATACCTTAGGCATCTAAAGAATCCAGGTATCTCTCCCTTCTAGACTGATGTGTCGATGTGGTGGTTGCTCAGCATATAATCTATTAACCACCTAGCCATCACAGACAATGCCTTGCATTTGACACTGAGCAAGGAGTTCTGAAATGCTCCACAGATGTTGAGTTCTTCTCTTTTGGGAAGCCTGTGACTGTAGGGGACCTTTGGGTGTGGAACATCTTAGAGAAAGTCTGTGGCTGTGCTTGACTTTGGGACATGGAACATCTTAGACAAAGTCTGTGGCTGTGCTGAACCTTGGGACATGGAACATCTTAGACAAAGTCTGTGATAGTGCTGAACCTTGAGACATGGAACATCTTAGACAAAGTCTGTGGCTGTGCTGGGCCTTCGGATGTGGAACATTACTTGTTATCAACCCATCCATATATATTACAGTTCAGTAAAGATATTAACAAATACTTTTTCATTGTCCAGAAATAAGGTCATCCCCTACTCAGACCATTTTGTTTGGTCCTATGGGCTTATTATAGGACACCTATATGTTAGACAAATTTGATATGCATTGATAAACAAATTTTCCTAAATCAATTGAAGACATTAGTTTTGTTTAAACAAAAATGATTGCATTAATGTTTTTCTTTATGCCTGTTTAGTGTCCAGGAGGGTGTGTGCTTCCATCTGTACTCAAGTCTCAAAGAGGAACTCCTGGATGACTATCAACTTCCCGATATTCTACGCACACCTCTGGAAGAACTATGCTTACAAATAAAGGTAAATTACCTGTCACACTTTCCAAGCTCTGTCACATGACTTGAGAGTGAATGTCAACTGATACAGCAATGCAATGAGATGAAATCAATTCTGTGGAAAGTCAGAGCATTGTTTCACAGGCAAAGAATCAGACCTTGCCATCAGTAACTCATGAAAACTTAACTACAAAAAATAAGAGTTATTCAAAAAGCTATAAAAAAATCTAAAAACTTTACTGAACAAAAATAAATTTTGAACTCAGCATGTTGATACAATATACACGATTTGCTTTCACTAATGACATGACTTGTTTTGTGCTGCTGCAGCTTCTAAAACTGGGAAAGATTGAGTCATTTATTAGCAAAGCCATGCAGCAGCCATCGCCAGAGGCAGTACACACAGCCCTGACAACACTGCAAGACCTGGTATGTACCATCCAACTTACATCACCTTCAGGGGGTCACATTTCATTCTGAACTAAAGCTTTGGTCCTCTGATACTGCTGAACATCTTGAGAACTAATTGTTGGATGTTGTTTTGACAAAAATTTCCAGGTCTTCCCATGAAATAACAGACGCTATTTGTGATTTTTTTCAAAGTCACATGGTAAACAACAATTTGTTTAATTATAAATCCCTGATTTGATATTTTACTTGGTATAGTTATGTCATCTCTTTAATCAGAAGAAATGACATAAGGACTGAAATTTAGTATGCTGGTTCATCACCCCATGAACAGTCAGGGTCATTTTTATTCTTGGATTTCTAGTATTATCTGGTGGCTACCTCACTACACAACAAACAATTAGTCTGTGATATGCTATACAGAACAATTAAGGTATAGCGTCTTGCCCAAAGACACAAACCAGTCTGTTTCTCAGCTTCATGAAAAACAAACCAGCATGGGTTGTGAGCATTGAACCACTCACCAAGGATCTTGACCTGAAGTTACGTAGGCCAATGCTCGAACTAACTGACCTATACCGACCCCTGATTTATACACATTATTAGGTACATACATATCACATATATTAGTACATGGAACAGAGGAAGTGTCAACTTTTCACTTCTCAACAGGAAAGTAAACCAGATTTAGACTTGTTTCATAAGAATGTAGATAACCATAGGTATCTGGTTTCCTGTTACAGTTGTCGTGGATATGTTTCAGTTTTGTATCTCTTTCACCTCTGATTTTGTTGTATACAATTGTTTGGCTGTAAATTCCATTTACTTCAGGTTAAACTGTCCTGATAAATGCAATGGTTGACTTGCAGTTTTGTGCCAGGTTTTTCCATGTAGGGTGTGACCTTATTGGAGGATAAAGAAATGGTATTTGTTGAAGTTTTTACTGAACTGTAATAGAAATTGGGAGGGAAAGTGTGACCACATGCAGTGACATGATATCCATCTGCATTCATCTTTTTCTTTAAAGGCTTAAAAAAGCCTGTTAAGATTGGGACATATTTGATCAGCCTGTTTAGATTGGGACAGATTTGGTCAGGAGCATCCTATGTACAAATAGAATTTCCTGTTCCCCTGTGGACAGAAGCACCAGGTTCTAACAGGGAATTAGTGAGCAATCTTAAAGTTGTCTTGCTTATAAGAGATCTTGACTAATTTTGGTGTGGAAAATTAATGGGTGAAAGGGACTCAGTTTTGTGTAAATGGAGGGTCATGTCCTCTAGGAATATAGGAGTGAACCCACTTAAACTGTTCATCTTGCATTCAAACTTAGAATCTATCATAAGATGAAATATTTAAGTTTCGATTGAAATAATTAGCTATTACTATTATTCCTAATGCCTTTGTCTTGTAATTTTCTTTGTCAAAAGATAAAGTTATGATCATAATGATATCTTTAATTTGGAACTCTCCACATAACTAATCAAAATATTGTTCTTGTTAGGTCATCTGACCCAAAGGGTCATCATGCTTCATTCGTCGTCTGTAAACTTTTGACATTTCAAACTTCTTTTCAAGTTTCACAAGTTGGATTTAGCTCAAACTTGCATGAAATAATCCTGAGATAGACCTGACTGTGTGATGTTTTTTTGGGCATATCTGAAGTCCAAGATGACTGCCATGGCCACCATCTTGAAAAATATATTTTAAACTTCTTCTGCAGTTCCACTGGTACCATTGAGCTAAAAATAGGTGGGAATGTTAAGGAAAGGTAGCCAACAAAGTGTTGTTATTTTTCGACCTTTTTAAAATGTTCATATGACAGTCAGGGAGGCCATTTTGTAACATGATTGCACAATCATGGCTTTCCTGTGCAACATCTATTTCAAACTTCTACTCAAGTTTTACCAGTTGGATTGAGCTCAAACTTTACTGTCAAAAAATAGGTAACACTTGTTACAGTTACCTGCTCCTCACCAAAACTTCCATTTGCACCATGGAAAACAGTATCTTAGTAAGATTATATTCAAAGTAGAAATCATAACCCTTCTCCCTGCTGAAAGTATTTGTAGTCAGGTGACCGTTAAGGCCCATAGGCCTCTGGTATTTATTCTTATCCTCTGAACCAGGGACATTTCAAAAAGAAAAAAAGAAAGAATATCAGAAAATTAAAGAAAGAATAAAATGAACTGAAAAGGAGTTAGCTGTGAATCTGACTCAGATTCTTAAATGTACTTTCTACATGTTTTGGACAGAAAGCTCTAGATGAGGAAGAGAACCTCCTCCCCCTTGGTCATCATCTGGCACGCATGCGTGTTGACCCCAAGTCTGGTAAGATGATTCTTTTTGGAGCCATGTTTGGATGTCTTGATCCTATCTGCACTATTGCAGCCAGCCTGGGATTTAGAAATGCCTTCATCATTCCTATGGTAAGCTTGAATTTTACATGTGATTTATCTAAATCTGATAGAACATCTGTAATATTTTTTGTTTTCATTCGAAAATGTGACTGTACTTGCTGTATTAAAGTAGCTGTAACTGTTTGGAGATTGAGTTTTTACCATTAAGAGCATAACTTTACCCACACTTCAGGAAGGATCAAGAAACTTGGTGTATATATTGGTCATACTAAGGAGATGTGGAGTGAACCAAATTCAGGGCCCTCAACCCCTCAGTTACATAGTTATTGCCCTTTGTTAAAATTTTGTGTCCAGAGAATAATTGTACTTGCATTTAAAGTAGGAAAGCAAATACCTATATCATACTAAGACTATGTGCAGTGTACAGAATTCAGGACCTGCAATCCCTTAATTACAGAGTTATTGCACTTTGTTGAAATTTTGTGTCTAGAGAAAAATTTAAATTTTTGTATATAAACTAGGATATTGAAACATTGTGGATACATTGATCATACTAAGACAATGTGCAGTACACCAAAGTCAGGGCCCCTGACCCCTCAAATGCAGAGTTATTGCCCATTATAAAAGATATATTGTCCAGAAATGTAATATATACATCAGTCATACAAAAGCATGATGCATTGGAGCAAAGTGTGGGCCCTTGACCTCACAGTACAGAGTTATTGCCCTTTACTTGCATGAAAACAAGGATCATGAAACATGCTGTTTATATTGGTTATATTAAAGGAATGTGGAGTACACCAAATTCAGGGCCGATAACCCCTTAATTACACAATTATGGCACTTTTTAAAATAAATTTGTGTCCAATAAAGTCGTTTTTAGTGAACATTCATCAGTTTCACTTACTTTGAGACAGTACTGTATTACAGTAGCTGTTATAGTTGCTACAGTGTTCAAATTCTGTCTGTAATGTGTTTTAGGGAAAGGAAGCTGAAGCTGACCATGTCAAGTTTATGTTGTCAGAAGGAAGTCAAAGTGACCATATCATGCTTGCTAAAGCTTTCAAGGTAACGAAACAAAGTCTACTTGATTGTCGGGTGTCAGCTTGGCCACTTTTAGTATAACATATGATTGTAAAGCAAAAAGGTCCATTATGTTTTCTTCAGGTTGGTAAGTACAGTGTGTATGTATAGAAGTTTTTATACCTTGACCAGTTAAGAAATTATGTGTAGGATTAGATGAATGACCAGTGAAGTGTATGACCATTGAGATCACATGATTGGTGGCAATAATGTACTGACCGTTTACAGTTGATTTTTGTACGTTCTCACATCCAGGACAAGATTTCATCAAAAGTGTAGCCAAAATATCTTTCATGGGTCAGTTCATCTCACACACAAATAATCTATTTTGTATTATCATTTATTACAAACTGAATGTTAAATGCTTCTGTCCATATCATAAGAAACCCTGAATACCAAATTATTGTATGGGCACTGTATAAAATTCTTCAACATCCAGATTAGATCTTGTAGTACTCCCACTATATGAAAGTAAAACACTTTCTCCCTAAAACCTGAATTTTGACATTAACTGATGCTGCTGGAGAGTTATATTGTCATTGTAGTTTCACTGGACAGCTGTAAATGTGTGGGTTTCTTACCCAACATGGATTTATTACTAGGTAGACAGTAGAATATAGATCCACCTAATTACCATATAGCCAGTTATTATCATGAGGTCATATTTTCACTTTTTCACATGGGATAAATGTGATCATGAAAATTTGATCCGTGAAATGATAAGACATGTTTAAATGTATTCCATAATATAATACTGTAACTAAGGACTTATCTTATTGATATTGTCTCTCCTACATTTCCAATTACTGAAGAATAGTTCATCAATTACAGTCTGTTGGAGAAGAAACAGTGATACAGATTCTATGTTACACGATACAGAACATTTTTTGTTTAATACAAACTTTTATGAATCATAGTGATGTTTAATTGATAAATCATCAAACACATGTTTGAAACTTGACATCTGGAGAAATATTCACAAAAATTAGATAGCTATCCTTTAAAAACTACATCGGGAAATTTGTATTTGTTGAAATCTAATTCTCACATTTTAAATAAAAAGCACAAAATTTTTGACCCATAAAAATAACAAACTGTACAATAAATGTATTTCTCATGTGTTCTGTTACAACAGGGCTGGGAAAGAGCTAAGAAACAAGGGTCAGCTTCAAAGTATTGCTGGGACCATTTCTTGTCCTCTAGTGTTCTAAAGGTTGGTACTACATGATGGTCTATTTATATCAAGTATCATTATCTGAATAAAATATTACTTTTAAAGTTTTAGCTCACCAGGCCACAGGGCTTCTCAATAACCAATGGACCAAATGTTTTGATATTTGGCTGGTATGTTCCTTTGATGAAGCACAACAAAGTTTGCAAAAATAAATTACTTTTATGGTATAATCAATGTCATAGGGGTCAAGTTTGTAAAAAAAAACAAAACATTTATACAACTTCTTTTCACGAACTGAAAGGCTTAGAGGGTTATTTGGCTGGTATGTTCCTATTATGAAGTACAACAAAGTTTGCAAAAATAAATGACCTTGACATAGTCAAGGTTATTGGGGTCAGATTTGTTAAAAACCTTTTAAACAAATTCTGCTTGTAAACTAAATGGCCTGGAGGCATGGTATTTCGCTGGTATGTTCCTAGGATAACGCTGAACAATGTTTGCAAAATAAATAACCTTGACACATATTCAAGGTCACAGTCAAATCTGTTAAAACATTTAAATAATTTCTTCTTGTAAACAAAAAGGCCTAGAAGCAAGATATTTGGCTGGTGAATTCCTAGGATGAAGCCTGACAAAATTTGGGAAAATAAATGACTCAGACTTACATTCAAGGTGACAGGGGTCAAATTTGGGGAAACCTTTAAATGATTTCTCATGAACTGAAAGGCCTAGAGGCATGATATTTGAGTGCTGCATGTCCATTGGGCTTTTTGTTTAAACGTGTCTACCTTTACATAATGATAGTGACCCTGACCTAGATATGAGATCTATAAATAGCAATGCCCACATTTGCTTCCTTTGACTTAAATGTTAATTTTTTCATCATTAAGCAACTAGATGGAATGAAAAAACAGTTTGCTGAATTGCTATATGACCGGAAGTTCATCAGAACTCGAAATTCCACTGATCCCTCGGTCAACATTAATTCTGGTGAGTTCTGTTTTTATATTCATATCATAGCTGGTAATAGTGGAAATTGGTCCTACTTTCATAATTGAAGATCAAGATCAGTTATTGGTGGTAATTGGTTTAAGCATTTACTAGAGAATAGTTTTGAGGTTGATTATATTACTATCATTGAATATACAGTAAATTTTAAATTCATGTATTTCTATTACCTCAAAATAAACAACTTTACACCAAAGATGATAATTGATCTTAGCATTTTTGAAATTAAACAAAAAATCCCTAAGAAGCATTCCTGATTAATTGTCTTAATTTGTTCCATTACCTTGATTTTTCGGCTTATCAGTTTGCTATGTGACCCTACATCAAAACGATGTTTGAAATAATTGGATGGAAGACCACATACATGCATAGCTGAAATGTTTTATCATCCTGTGAAAGCCATTGACAGGGGGTAACTGGGCTGCATCTGTCCACCATGCATATGTCTGTACATATATGTGTCCTTATGTCTGTCTGAGGGGCTTTTCCAGCTAAAACTTGAAAACTATTCAACTGATACTGACAAAGTTTTATATCCTTATCAGGCTAATGCCTTAGTCATACCTTTTGCTATTGACAAGATTTTATTTTCAATATTTTGTCTGTTGTCATGGAAACAATGTAAAAAAAACTACAAAATGTGCTGTTTGCAAGCTTTTTCTGGGCCACAAGTTAAAAAATGTTCAACTTAGCTGAGCCAACACAGAGATTCACCATCAGAATACTGACTCACTACAAGTTAGATATGTATGGATAATTATACCAACACCTGGGTACCTGGGATAATGCTGCGCCTTGTGACCCTGTGTAATTCTCTCCACTACTGTTACTGCTATATAGATACATACTTAAGTCTTCATGATATAGTTAGATGATATAGTTAGATGACTCCAGGCATCTTTTTACAGTGCACTTGTTTTTATTTATTTTCAGATAATGAAAACTTAATAAAAGCCATTACATGTGCTGGTTTGTACCCAAATGTGGCCAAGTTAGCCAGCAACTTTGCCAGGAAACCCATCCCACAACATAAGTGAGTATTATCTCTTCAAATGTACCAATAACAAACCATAAGCACATGTATTGTTTCTTCTATGCAACTAAAATGATGAAAGATGTTATTTCTTCAATACACCAATCCCAGATTATAATATTTGCACTCTATATATATATATATATAGAGTGCAAATATTATAATCTGGGATTGGTGTATTGAAGAAATATATATATATATATAGAGGTCTGACCACACAAGTCAGACTTGTTAAAACCTTTAAATGACTTCTTCTCATGAACTGATAGGCCTAAAAGGCATGATATTTGGCTGGTAAGTTCTTAGGATGAAGCCCGAAAACATTTGCGAACAGATTCATATTCAACGTCACAGGTGTCAAATTTGTTGAAATTTTTCTTAGACATAAAAAAGGAACTAAAGATTTCTACCATGTTCTATGTCAGAATAACACAGTATCAGGGTAGAAAGAAGTGGGAGCAAATGTTTGACTTTAATAATGATATATGGAAAAAAAATCTATACCATTCCCTTTAAAATTTGTAAAAATACCAAACTGCAATGGCTCCAATTTAGAATCAATCAGCATATTTTAACCACAAATTCTTATCTTTATAAAATTGGTCTTGTTGACAGCCCTTATTGTTATCACTGTAAAACTGATATTGAGACTATAATTCATGCGATATGGGAATGTCAAGAGGTAAAGCATTTTTAACTGACTTTGAAGCAGTGTTAGATCTATTTTTAATTCCATTTGCTTTTAATAAAGAATCCTTCATATTTGGTTTCTTTGATAGGAAATTAATGTTGACAATTTAGTCCTACTTATTATAAAACTTTACATCTATCAGGCAAGATGTCTGCAAACTGGTCTGTCACTTTCAGGTTTGAAGAATTTAATTAAAGATACATATAACACTCAAAAATACATTGTTACAGGATATGGGCAAAATTATCTCACTAATTTTAAACAGGAATGGAGAAAATGGGAAAGACTACTTCAGACTATGTAGTGAAATTTTAAATCATTTTTGGATTATTTTCTTTTTTAACTTTGTTAGCTGAATGTATCAAAAATGAAATAAAATAATAAAGCTCCTGTCAGATCCTACCGGCACCATACTCATCCTCTCCCTCCCTCTCCTTCTTCATCTCTCTTACTGCTACTTTGCTCATTTTTCCCTTTTCTCTAAAAACGGTACACTATAACATAGCACTTACTTTAGTATCAATCTTAATGTCAGGCTTTCATTTTTTACTCTATTTACATTCCTTTGTACCTAAGTGAAAATGGCCATGTGTGAGTGGAATGTTTGATGTGTTATGTTTCATGTATTGTTAAAAATCTTCAAAAAATAGAAAATTATAAAAAAAAAATTTGTTGAAACCTTTTAGAAAAATTCTGCTCATGAACAAAATGGCGCAGAGGCATGATATTTGGCTGGCATGTTCCAAGGATGAAGCTTGACAAAGTTTGAGAAAAGAAATGACCTTGACTCATATATAAGGTCAAATGGGTCAAATTTGTTAAAACCTTAAAACAACTTCTTCTTGTGAACTAAAATGCCAAGAAACATGATACTAGGCTACTGTATATATACCAGGTGAACGCTGCAGGCCCATCGTGCCTCTTGTTTATATTTTTTGTGTTACCAAAAAACACAAGAGCAGTGTTTACTTTCCTTTGCCTGGCTACAACTTCAAAACCAGTCCACTCAACTTAACAAAACTTTATGTATATATTAGGTTAGTGCTCTAGATAAAAAAAAATTCTGTTACCATGGAAACAGGACAATTCGCAGAGTTTAGTTCTTTCTAACTAGTGCTCTGAAACCGTTCAATATAATTGTTCAAAACTTTTCACACTTGTTATCCTAGTAGTGTCTTTTGCTATGGGGAAGTTCTCCACATAAATACTTTTCCTTTTACCATGGAAACATATATGCCAAATCACAAAGTGCAGTTTTTTCAGATAAGTTACCCGGTACTCAAAACTTTGTACAGGCATCAAGCTAGTACTCGAGTAGAATTTCTCCATTTCAGTACTTTGTTTTGAAAAAATTACCAATAGAATTTAAAGTTCTTGTAATATTAACATTTATTTATGATTGTGTGTTTCTTTTTACAGCTGGATGTGGGGGATAATGTCAAACTTATCTCGTTATCTTGTTGCAGTTACTTACCTAGCATGTATTATGAATGCACACCTTTGTCCTTCGCCAAAAAGTGATTAAGCGTTAAATTTGAATGTGCCAAATTAAGTATATTTACAATGTGTTATTGTAGGCCAGTGAAGTTCCACCTTAAAGGTGACAGAGGGAAAGTATATCTACACCCAGGATCTGTAAACAACAAGAACAAAGATTTCAACTCAGCCTGGTTCATTTATCACAAGAAGATGAAAACTGCTCAAGTATGTTTACTTTTCTGTGTACTGAAATGTTTATTTTGGTCCATCACACTTTATCAATGAGTACAAAGTTCTGATTTTTGGGTCCATATTATAATTTATGAAAGTTTAGCATGATTTGTGTGGCCATGTTTTACTTGTGTTGTTTGGTGTGCCTTTACTGATGAAGTAAGGTCTGACTTTGGTATCAGTATTCACTGGTGAAGTCAAGAGTGATTTCTATCCATGTTTTCCTGTTGTATTTAGATGTGATTTTAGTATTCATAATTTTTACTGGTGACTTTTGTATCAACATTTTACTGGTGTAGTGAGATGTGCCTTTTGATCTGATGTTTTATATATATCTCCCGTTCTACTTGCTTTACAGGTTAATCTCTTCGACACAAGTCTAGTCTCTCCCTACCCTCTCCTCTTTTTCGGGGGTGAGATAGGAACATCGGAGGGTAACATTGTATGTATACTTTTCTTTTTTTAAATTTGTCAGACAACCAATGAGATTTTCAATTATGATACATAGGGTGACATTAAGAGGAACTTGTACAAAGCTAGTGACAACAGCAACTCAACATACATATAGATTTTATTGAATTAAATATGATATGATATTAAAGTGAAAATGAGTTTAATTTATACCATGGTTCCCATGTCAAAATAATTTAGGTCAAAACATTATTAATGTGTTACCAGCATATAATGATTATTGTTTGTATCAACAAGTGTCAATTCTCACAAACAGGATGGTGAAGTAAGAACAAAGGTTACCGTTGACAACTGGATATCATTTTGGGCCAATCAGTCAACAGCTCAGATGGTTAAGGTAAGGTTGCTAAGGCCAACAACTGGAGATCATTCTGTTCCAATACATGAACAGGACAGCTGCTGCTGTGTGATATTTACATATTGAAGAAGCAGGAAATACTAGTAAAAGACTTCGTGACTGATAATTTCATCAGTGTTACATTGTTTGTAATCCTCTGACAGCCACATTTTACAATATTAGTATGTACATCAATGAATGACCTGAATAACGTTGAATATTCACTCAGGGTGATGACAGTCATTGTAAAGGTAAAGAGTACACTTGTAAAGTGATTGGTCTACCTATATTCCTCGTGTGAATATACACTCACCTGTGATCTGATGTCTAAACTGAGGTTTCTTAGGTTACTACTGAAATTCGGATTTCGTTCTGTACCAGTACCAGTTCAAATGGTTGAGGTACTGTTATAGGTATTGACATCTAAAAATGATATTGGTCTCATTTTGAGTCGGTCATCAGATCTAGATGTTGGTCACATTTTGAGTCAGTCATCAGCTCTAGATGTTGGTCTTGTGTGGAGTCAGTTAACAATTCTAGATGTTCTTCTCATTTTGAGTCAGTCATCAGCACTAAACATTGGTGTTGTTTTGAGTCAGTCATCAGATCTAGATGTTGGTCTTGTGTGGAGTCAGTTAACAATTCTAGATGTTGGTCTTGTGTAGAGTCAGTTAACAATTCTAGATGTTGTTCTCATTTTGAGTCAGTCATCAGCACTAAACATTGGTGTTGTTTTGAGTTGGTCATCAGATCTAGATGTTGGTGTTGTTTCGATTCTGTCATTAGCACTAAACATTGGTGTTGTTTTGAGTCAGTCATCATATCTAGATGTTGGTCATGTTTTGAGTCAGTAATCAGCTCTAATTGTTCATCATGTGTGGAGTCAGTTATCAGTTCTAAATGTTGGTCTTGTGTGGAGTCTGTTATCAACTCTAGATGTTGGTCTTGTGTGGAGTCAGTTATCAGCTCTAAATGTTGGTCTTGTGTGGAGTCGGTTATCAACTCTAGATGTTGGTCTTGTGTGGAGTCAGTTATCAGCTCTAAATGTTGGTCTTGTGTGGAGTCGGTTATCAACTCTAGATGTTGGTCTTGTGTGGAGTCGGTTATCAACTCTAGATGTTGGTCTTGTGTGGAGTCGGTTATCAACTCTAGATGTTGGTCTTGTGTGGAGTCAGTTATCTTGTGTGGAGTCAGTTATCAGCTCTAAATGTTGGTCTTGTGTGGAGTCGGTTATCAACTCTAGATGTTGGTCTTGTGTGGAGTCAGTTATCAACTCTAAATGTTGGTCTTGTGTGGAGTCGGTTATCAACTCTAGATGTTGGTCTTGTGTGGAGTCAGTTATCAACTCTAAATGTTGGTCTTGTGTGGAGTCGGTTATCAACTCTAGGTGTTGGTCTTGTGTGGAGTCAGTTATCAGCTCTAAATGTTGGTCTTGTGTGGAGTCGGTTATCAACACTAGATGTTGGTCTTGTGTGGAGTCAGTTATCAACTCTAGATGTTGGTCTTGTGTGGAGTCGGTTATCAGCTCTAAATGTTGGCTCGGTTATCAACTCTAGATTGGTCTTGTGTGGAGTCAGTTATCAGCTCTAAATGTTGGTCTTGTGTGGAGTCGGTTATCAACTCTAGATGTTGGTCTTGTGTGGAGTCAGTTATCAACTCTAGATGTTGGTCTTGTGTGGAGTCGGTTATCAACTCTAGATGTTGGTCTTGTGTGGAGTCAGTTATCAGCTCTAAATGTTGGTCTTGTGTGGAGTCGGTTATCAACTCTAAATGTTGGTCTTGTGTGGAGTCGGTTATCAACTCTAGATGTTGGTCTTGTGTGGAGTCGGTTATAAACTCTAGATGTTGGTCTTGTGTGGAGTCAGTTATCAGCTCTAAATGTTGGTCTTGTGTGGAGTCAGTTATCAACTCTAGATGTTGGTCTTGTGTGGAGTCGGTTATCAACTCTAGATGTTGGTCTTGTGTGGAGTCGGTTATCAACTCTAGATGTTGGCCTTGTGTGGAGTCGGTTATCAACTCTAAATGTTGGTCTTGTGTGGAGTCGGTTATCAACTCTAGATGTTGGTCTTGTGTGGAGTCGGTTATCAACTCTAGATGTTGGTCTTGTGTGGAGTCGGTTACCAACTCTAGGTGTCAGTTTTCATTTGGAGTTGGTCTTGTTTCGAGAACTAGATGTTGTTCTGATTTTGAGTCAGTTATCAGCTCTAGGTGTCGGTTTTCATTTGGAGTTGGTCTTGTTTCGAGAACTAGATGTTGTTCTCATTCTGGTCAATCATCAGTTCAGTGAATAGCCTTTATAAAAGGTTCAGTGACTGTGAATTGTGTTACATTGGGATCAATAATAAATGGCTTCTGTTGACAGTTGAGGTTTATATAGAGTTTGTGTGTAATTGATTGTCTGATATTTTAAACACAGTAAATTTTGTTGTTTTGCAGTGTTTGTTCATAGAAAGTCAACAGAAATTCTGATCTTGTAAAATGTGTAATGCAGTCTTACTGTCTCTAATATCCATTTTGGGAATGTGACCATTTTGTATGTTCATGAGCATAGCAGCATTATTTGTCGTTCTCAATAATATCTGATATTAATGTTTGTAGGATCTACGGCAGCAACTGGACAGAATATTGGAAGAAAAGATCAAACAGCCAGGAGTAACCAACTGGTCTAAAAATAGTAGAGAGGGTGCAGTAATGTGTGCCATTATAGAACTTATTACAACAGAAGAGGTGGTGAATTATAGTGCCCACAAAGACCAACAGCGTCGGAGCCAACAGTACCAGGAACAAAGAAGTTATCACAATAGATGATGTATATCACTTTGTAGGCATCAGAAATCATCATGATTAGAGTATAGGTGGTCAGTGCTGAGGAACCAATCACATGCAGATTATCTACAAATGTTGTTTTAGGAGTTAAAAATGATTCTTGGTCATTCCCTGGTAATAGAATCAAAACAATTTCCATGAACAAGAATTATCACTGAGTTCCACTGTAAACATGGATGTTTGTCCTCGAACCAGATTACATAGCGTACTTTGGAGCCTTGTTAACAATCACTTGACCTTGACTCTAGTATCCTTGTATTCAGGTGTTGGATCCAGTGCTGTGTGTACATCACACCAAGTCATTATCAGTCTTTAGACGAGGTACAAAAGGAGACACTTTACAACAGAACAATGGAGCGGTTTACATTCAGGCTGGTACTGGTTATTCTCTTGAAGTTGCAGACTGAATTATCATGTCTGCTTTTCAGTGTGTTCAGTCAGGTATGATAATGAAGTTCTCCTTTAATAAGTCTAGTTGTCATCACATAACCCCTGACTCCATGTAGGTAATGTTTGTAATGTTAGCCCGCACCTATTGCTTGAAAATATGGATTTTATCAACAAATCTTAAATGAATTTATTTATTAAAGATTTGAATTAGTTAATAAGTTGTTTTTCTTTCTTTTTATGAGAGCATTTTATTGGCAAAGACATGAAATACAAATATGTCCTCATGTGATTTGAAGATAATGACACTCAATTTCTGAAAATTTGTCTGAGGATAGTATCACTCCAAAGTTTCACAGTTGTCATAGTGATCTCATTGAGAAATATTCTATTTGTTTGTGTGACGGAAGGTGGAGCTGCTTGATGCTCATTGGTTGAGGATAGTATCACTTAACTAATCTCTGTATTATACAGACATTCACATCAGATAAGTACTGTTACTGACCTGTCTGGAGTGGTCAACAGAACAAGCTTGCAAGAAATGTCTGACCTTCTCGTATTTGATGAGGTGATATCATGAATGACCTTTTGAGGTGCTCCTTCATTTTAATATTGTCTACTCAACTATAATGGACAGGAGAGGAGTGGTTCAATCACTACTCTCAGCAGTTTGTGTTTTTCAGGAAGCCTCCTATTTGGTTAAGACACTTCTTCCCCATTTTTCTGGATACAGGAAGCATGCAACAGACCTCTTGCATGTTGTTCAGTGAGATAGTGACCAGCTGCTATGATGAGACTCTACTTCAAATACACGACATTGACTGTCAAGAAATAAATCCAGCAAACAAACATATGAATTCACTAAAAAAATTGTCTGTTAAAAACTAATAATTGGGACTAATTTTAATATATCAACTCCCTCATTTTTATAGTTTTGATTTAATTTGTTTAGATGTTTGGGGATATCTTGTAAACAAGCTTTCTAGTGGTGAAGAATGACCTCTGGCCTTGACCTAATTTAGGCAAAATCCAGACATTACTACGGGTAGAGAAAGATTTTAAATAACTTTAAAAATTTGCTATTTTTGGCCCCAGCCCTAGGGGCCCCAAGGGATGCAGAGACCCATCATCTATAAAAATTTGCCTTCCCCAAAGGATGGTTCAGACCAAATCACGTGGAGATCTGCTTAGTCGTTCATGACAAGTAGCAATTGGTAGAAAAAAATGACAGATGGATGTCAGATTTTGTGCCATGGTATCAGCTCATTGGTCACTTGACAGTCATTTTGTTTTTGTTTTTCTGATCAGTTCGAAAATCAACAAAGATCAAAATAATTCTTTTCAAGAAATAGCGATATCAAATATCGTTCAAGACTGCTGATGCAGGGTGACATGAATCTCCCTCCATCTGAAGCTGGACAAAAATCATCAAACACAATACTTAAAGTTTTAAAAGTTTTATTACAGGAAGACTTACAAGAAACAGCTGATAATGGATGTTCTAGAATAATAAATGAAAAAGTCAGCTATTTGTGTTAACTTAGGTCTCCTGTCACTTTGATTCTTGATTCTAGAGTGTTTTATGTAGCAGTTTTCAACTCTCGCTGTGAAATTCGGGTTCGGTGGGGATTTTGTCCTTCTGATCAAAGACAGACCTTTTGATTATATAATGTTTGCAACTCTTTCTTTAAACAAATGGCTGATTTTTACATTATTCCAAATTGAACATACACTAATTTTTTCTTTGTTGGTGATATTATCCCAACGTTATTTCAATGCCTGATGCTGTAGCCTGGAGTCCTTTAGATGTTGTATCCTACTGTTTTACCAGAGAAAATGTCAACTCTGCCTTATTATATACTGTTACTAGAGAACCCTTCATTATCTGGAGGAAGACAACCTTCGATCAGAAATATTCCATCTTTTCTGCATTTTATTGCCATATTTATTTTCTTTGCCATATTACCTGTTAACAAACTGAAAGAATATGAAGCACGAGACAACTGGTTGCAGAAAAGGTATGAGAAATGTATCCCTTGATCCTAAGGTCACCTTCCTTGCTTGATTTTTTACAAAACTAATGAAGACATTTCAAGGTTTTGTTAAAAATCAGATGAAGAGTCAGTGTGTCTTTTGATAAATGGGTAAATATAAGTATGAAAAAGACAAACTGTTCCTGATTTCTTCAAATCACAATATACCTCACCATCTTTGGCTCATCATAAAATCAAATATTTTTCTGAACTTGATTAACTTTTCTGTAAAACATTACATCAGACTGAAAGTAAAGGTTGTTGATCTGTTTTTTTATTAAAGGTTTCTGTTTCACTGACTGTGAATGGTTTTCAAAATAGGACTCCTAGAAATTTAAGAAGTTTGTTCAGATGATGAAGTATACAGTGTTTTTTGTAAGTTATGGTTAAAAGTACATGATAAATGAAAATTCTCGCTCACAGAGAGAAGATCTTTCAGGTACATATATATATATGGTACTCATTCAGGAGCAGAAGAAAAGAAGGAAAACCGGCAATATATATATAAAATGTTGATGCTTACAACAATGATTAATGGTATGTACAATGCTTACAACATTCAGTCATGTTTCTATACTGTAACCGTACTTAATTTAGCACAATCAAATCTTAGCACATAACCACATTTTCAGCAAATGAGCGCAATGACGAATTCGCGCATCGGTAATAATTGCACTATATAAACGATATTATAATACAGAAGCGAAAAATTAGCGCAAAATATTTAAGCACAATACTTTCAGCGTGAAAAGTACTAAAATAAGATTACTGCTAAACTCTGTACGTGTACAATATCCTAAGTTGATTTTACATTGTATCACAAAGGTCAAGATCAATACATCACAAAGGTCAAGGTTGACATATTACAAAGTTCAGACAAATTGTGTGAAGTTGGACTTTGGAGTTTGAACTGACCTGCAGATTTACTTATTGTTCTTCATTTCACTTCCATAAAACCAGCTATCAAATAATTTTGAAAGAAAGAACATTATTAATAAATTCCAGAAATTAATTTCACAGATCTGAAATGCATTACACACAGGATAGTGAACCAATGGAAGCATCAAATATGATTGGTTAAAAATTTTATGGAACTCTTACAAGTCCTTGCCGTAATTTTACACACATATTGGAAAATGATAAATCAACAAGATAACAAATCACTAACAATGTACTGAGGAATTATAAAACAGGGTGTAGACACCCGTGAAACCGTCAGGATCTTCTGTGTAAAGTACACAACCAAAGTATCTCACACAGGTCACAGCGACCTACATAGGAATTAAGTCACAGCAACTTACGTTGGTAGTAAATGCGTAATGCAATGATGTAAACATAAGCTCACAACAAAGAATGTTAACAGTTTTATCACAAAAAATTGTGTAAAAAGAACCCCCAAAAAAACAAAACCAATTGTATAATTACAAACTACCAATGATGGCAGTCAGGGTGACCCTGACTGCGGTAATCCTATGTATACAAAACGAGGGTAAACAACACAGTCACCTTCAAAACCTGCAACACAATAATGACTTTTGTTTATATACATCTACAGACGATATGTGCTTTACAAAGTCTGACAATCCTGTCAATCAGTGAAGTTATTGTATTGAATGTCAAACCAACATCTTCCATTCCATCTCAAACATGTCTGTTTTGTTCAACTTACTTCAACAAGTTAATATATTTTGATAAAAAAAAAAGGTTGTTCAGTTTTATTATAATAAATATATAAATGTTATTTTTAACACCGTACTGTTGTGTATTATTCCTGGAATGTTATGTCTTAAATCTATTTTTACATGATACTTTTTCTATATTTACAAAGAAAAAATGTACAACCCCTGCTATATAACTTGAAAAATTAAGACTTACAGTTTTTAGTCTATACAAAGATGTGTTAGTAGGCTGTTCATAAATTAAAACAAGAAAAAGAAAACCTTCATTATCACATTTTTATCAAAAATCAGGTTCCTGAATGGTTTGATATCAATTTAGTAAAAACACAACCAGTTTCAAAACAAGAAAAAAATTCTTGATTGAAAATCAATAATTATAAGTTGTAATAATGAAATAAAACAATGTAAATGGACAAAAACAGGTCTCTACACACAATTACAACACAAATGATGTTTCATTTAAAAATGGGAGTTTTTCTCATTAGAGTTTAAAAAAAAAAATTCTCTAAAAAAGCAATGAAGTATCTAGCTAGTAGATATAAAACAAACCCCAGTGCCTACCTCTGATCATACTATAGCACTTAGCGACAAAAGGAAGGATAGAAGCAAGGAATATATGTAAACAATGGCACTAGTGTCCCCTGGTAACAAACAAAGCATTCCCAATAAAATACCGACACAAAATCAAGTTACTAGCCTTTCTAAGATGATCTCTAGGTTAGCCTTCAGCATATATACATGGAATGAACAAGTCTAATATATATATATATGTCATTTTATATTAAATGAAAAATATTAATGCGTAAAATAAACTTGGCTGCAAATCAACTAAAAAACTAATTTTTTTTTGTCTAGTAAGGAAACTGATATTATTTATTTTCCATATTATTACAAAAACAAACAGAAAATTAAGAACGTCAGAAAGCAAAAATACTTTCAAAATGATAAACTTGTCATACATTACTTCAAAACAAATTTCTGAGAAAAATAAAATAAAAATACTGGATTGATATGGTTAAAAATAAAAATATTTTAGCAGCAAATATTGGACCAAAGAATATCAATCTTTCCTCATCCCTGATAAGTACTAATCCTATGATCTTGCTACTCTCCTCGTTGTAACTATTTACTGAAGGTGTAACTAGAAATGTTTGTAATCACATGACACTCCACTTCAACTGGCCATAAAGCTAATAAGAGACATTTTTCATCTATGATGAAAGTGTAAATAAAACTGCCATTTTTCTTTCTACTCACAGTCTTTTTAACGCTTTCATGCTTCTATTTAAATACAGCATGTCTGAAAGCATGTTTAATATAAACCATTATTCAGTGATTTCCTTGCGATGTAACTAATTTGTATGGTTTTGTAAAAATGTGTACAAAAAGATACAATTTATGCCTTGCAGAATATTCTAAACAAGTTTTTGACAACACAGAAAGTTTACATAACTTCTTGTTATAAAATTGTTCAACTGGTAAGAGAAAATTTCACTGAATGAATTATACGTCAATTTAATGATTTATGCATTGCAGATGTTTAAAATGTAGTGTATACATTATGCATAATAAATATTTATGCTTCATGGTGACAAAGTTGTCTCAATTATGTCCGGAAAAAAAGAATTCATCAATGATTTAAATATCCAGTGAGTGATGTCTCAGATTTCTTTCAGATCGCATTGAAGCTTGTGACCTCAGAAAGATAATGTTGAATCATCCCACTCAAGATCTTTCACCTTTTTGACAACCACTTCCTCCTCATCCTCATCCGAACTATCACAATCGTCATGGTAACTGTCAATATCATCATCACTATCAGAATCATCTCGCAATTTCATCGGAACGTCTTCATATTCGAACACCTTCAAAGAAGAAAACAAGGTAATCTAATCATAAGTACAAAGTGTTCGTGGCATTTTTTCTTTATTATATCACTGGAATGATTTACTTTTAATGTCGTATCCTAGATACTGTCAATTCTTTAAATCATGCGAAATACTCATTGAACAGCAAATGTTTCTCTCTTTACAAAACTTGAAATGAATAATTCAGAGTGAATTATCAAACTTTTGGAAATGATATCGGACCAAGGATATCTCTTTGATATGGTTAATGTTTATTCATTTTGTGTCCTGTATAGATCAAAAGGTGAAAGGTCAGCTTTTATTTGGTGGTCACTAGGACAACACACAAGTGTCCAGCGGTTTGCTATAAACCACTGGCATTAGGACTGAAAACAACAAATTTTTTTCAACACAGTATTAAAAAGTATTTCCAACAATAGCCGGATTATTATAATGAAATGTCCATTCCATTCCCTAAAAAAATTCATGGAACTGGAGTTGGTGAGCACAATCTCTCCCCCAACACTATATACTGCTCAGAAGACAGAGCTAAGGAAGTAAGAAGGCAGGGAGGCAAGGTGGGTGGCAAAAAGGCAGACAAAAGACTGAAGGAAAATAGGTTACCTTTTCTCTTACCTCCTTCTGTTCCATGGGGTTGACAGTTATGTTGAGAGCTGAGTTATCCCACTCCATCTCCATCATTTTATCATCTACCTGTACCACAGTACGTCTGTGTGCTGCCCTGATACGAATTACACCCAGGATAATCATAAACAGCAGGAATCCGACACACACCACAATGATCGCCACCATTCCAACATCTGGTGGTAAAAATGGGGTAACAAATTATTAAATGTTATTCAGTGTTCTCAAACCATACACAAAGTCTGTTTATTTAATTTCACAAGAACAAATATCTTGCAGCCTGCTGTAATAATTATCATCTCTTGTAATGTTTAAATAACTTATCACAATTCTCAACATAGTTTACTTTTACATATTTTATATTTTTTTACTGAAGTTTTCATTGATAGAAGACTTATTATTTCAACAATAGTTTTGTAATAAAAGAAAATTAAAGAAAAAAAAATTAAAAAAAAAAAAAGATTTTTTGACAATCTCTTGATGCAATCTGGCTACAATGTTAACAAAGCCACTAAGTAAGATTACTCACTCGGAGATGCATGAGCTGCCACTCCGACTGGAACATTACCACCAACACTGCTATCCAACTTAAACTGCTGGATACGGTTCTCCTGTGCATGGGCATGGACAATTTTCCTTGGCTCACTGTGGACTGCCACAATCTGTCAACATAACAGCAGCTGAACTACAGAAACTTTCATGGCATCAAGGTCTAATTTTATAACAAATATTTCCCTACTGATCTAGTCTTGACTAATTACAAAGGAAAATCATATTAACTGAGCATTTCTTTTTTTATCCCATAATTCTTCTCATGTCTTTTAATATTTCTTCACATCTAAAGGAGATCTAGAGATTAAAAACAAAGAGTTAAAATTCACATAGTTAACTTTACATAGAGGTACATGGACAAATCCAGTGGTAAGATACCAAAATTATTGATCATGTGACCTTACCTTGACCTCCAGCTGATTGCTGATGAATCGACCACTTTGTGAAGAGCAACTGAGGATGAATTTTCGACTGTTGAGTGAGTTCCCCTTGTTATGGAAGTAATAGAGTTCTTGTATCACTCTCTCATAGTTTTCCTTAGAATCGGCATCTGTTCATATAACATAACACTATAAGGCATCTTTTTACAGATTAATATAATATATTGAAATTGTGTGCTATTTTCTATTTGATAGGAAAAGATTTTTCAGGTCAATATTGATAAAATCAAGGAAACAATATCTAAAATTGGATTTAGATTATTGATATATGTTGTGTGTCTTAGGCTGCTTATACACAATGTTAAAGAGAAAGCAGTCTAGCCATGTTTCCCTAAGTGACACACATAATGATTATGTATTATGAAATATCTTTTTTTCCTACTGAATCCACACAAGTGTTCTTCTTGTTACTCACAATATTGATACACAATCAGATTCTAGAAGTTTTTCCCTAAAAAAATCACTTATGTTCTGTCTGTATTTGTACATATTCTTCTTCATCAGTAAATGTTTAATTCTCACTTGTAATGACAAGACCACTGTTGGTCTCACTACCCTCCAGGTGCATGTTGAAACGTGAGATGGTGCTCTCTGGAAGATTCAGATGTTCTACGCGAAAGTCCAGTGGAGGGTCAGCACGGATTGTACATGTATCCAGTAAAATGTCCTGTTGGGGGATGTCCTTTTCCATGGTCTCCTCTGTAATAATAATCACACAAGTATTTACAAAACAAACAAATGTCCCTTTAAAGCATCCTAATAATACAACTATTTTTAACATTTAAGTACTGGATGTCAATTTGTTAGCATTTATATTTTTCTTGATCACTTGAAATTTACAACATCCAAATTTACTATTCAGGTTTATAGTCTTCTAGTTCTTCAGATATAAAGGCAATCTTCCCTTAGGAACTGTTTTTATGTTCTCTTTTGCCAACTGACCCCATATATATATTAACAGAGGTACACAAGGAAGTCAGTAAACAAACATTAAGGTTTAATTGCACTAAAAATAATCAATTATACAGTGCATCAGAAGTCATTAAGCCGTAACAGGCCTGATATTGCCATAAACTACTGAAGTTCCAAGTTCTAAAAGGTAGTGAGAGATTAACAAGTATTTGGAAACATGCAAAGTAAAGGAACAACAACATTTATGCCTGGTACTGATTAAAAGCTCTAAAACAGGCACTGCCTTACGTTGGTTCCTTGTGCGAGATAACTTGTCTTGTAGTTTCTGTATTTTGGACGGCATTGTGCCATCTTCTTCTTCCTCGTCTTCGTCTTCATCCTCTTCAGGAGAGAGTCCATTATGGAGCAAGAAGTCAACACTGATACGAAGGCCATTGAAGACTCTTTGGCCAGATAGAAGTTGAGAGGCCGTAGACTGGACAATGTGAGGTCCAGAAAGGGAGATGGATGGGATTGGAGCTGGGTTTACCATCACGTAGGTCTCAGCAACAGGTAGAATTACTTCCTTACCATTACAACTGTAAACAACATATTTTAATCATAATTACACACCATTAAAATTCATTTTTGTCTCTAAAGCATTATCCCATCAAAAACTAGGTGGAATGGTACCATTCTCATAACACAAATTTCTTCATCACTCCTCTTTACTGGATAAATTTGCAGGATTGTAAAATTCACTGATATGTCAACAACTGGCGAAATCTTAAACATTGAGGCCCCTATTCCTGCTTCAATAGAAATGGAGGTTATCCAAAAACTTGTCATCAATTTGAAAAAAATTAAAAAATAAAAACCTTCAATTTGACTCTGTCGTATCGATCTTAAAGCAATAAAGATGATAAAATATCTTCCATGAATTAGCAGCTTGAATAGACACTGCTAGAGAAACAGATCCTAACATTGCATATATCTCACTAAAGTATCATGTATGAACAGGGCGAATGCTATATACCTATGGCCATATTACGAGGGGGATTCAAAATTTAAAATTTGAAGATCAAAATACTGACCAATCAGCAGGTCAACTTTGGTGAATATCCATGAAACCGTTCAGAAACTAGAAAAAGGTCTATAAGACATGGTCACATTATGTGTATACGTACTGGACATTGGTGGAAATGTCGATGTTGCGTCGCCCTGGGGTGGGGAACTGGCGAGCATTGAGATAGACAATATCTCTGACCAGATTCTGCACCTTGGTTACATTTTTACCTTCAATGGTGAACTCTGTCATTTCACTGTTGTAGCTGACTGCCTGTAAGCAGCAAAGAAGAAAGCGTTTTAAATTTGAGTCATGAGTTTTGAACTTCAAACTATTTATGAGGCATATACATGTATATTGTACCTTTAACAAAAATTCCTTTACATTCAAATTTGCATGAAACCTATGGATTTTTTAAATGTTGAGTTAATCTAAGCATTTAGGAATGCTTGGCCTCTTCAAACATTGAGGTTACAACAACCCCATTATACAAACTTATATTACAGAACTTACTGAACCAGTCAGCAGAGACTTTGTTCCCTTGAAGTCCAGGTTTTCCTTACAGCTATTGAGACAATGGATGACACGGTCACTTTCTGTCTGACCCTTCAGGATGGACAAACCTGCCAAGAACCCCTGCAGGTAGTGCTCAAATTTGTTTTTAGCACCTAAAAACAGAAAAAAAAAATTAAATGATGTATAGCGATGAGGACAACTTCACTCATATCAAAAAGAAGGAAATAGTCACATCAGTATTTAGTATTCACAAGGAAAATCTTTGTTTCTTATTTTTTTTCCAGAAAATGAAAGTCTGAGATATCACACTAGGAAAAATGTGTATTAACCATAAGTAACAGGAAGACATCAATATCATGCTGATATATTTTGTATAATAAATCTGGATTACACGGAAAATGATCACTGGTATACATTGTATTATATAGGATGAAAATATTTTAGATAAAGAAATCACACAGTGTGAGGAAACATTGGGTAACAATCACTCACTTCCGTGACAATTACACAAAAAGAAATTCTTACAGATGTATTATTACACAGGAGGAAATCATTGTTTTTTGTAAAAATAGGAGAAATCATTGATTATTAGAACAACATTTATTATGATTACACAATGATTATTCATTTTTTATTATATTTACATAGTGTGAAGTCATTGTTTACAATGATATAATTATTTACTACGATCACATTATCTTTTTTTTTTATCTGCAATTTCAAAAGGAGATTTTTTTAAATATAATTAAAAATATAATTGTTTACAATACTTACAGGGAAAATCATTTTTTAATTACTAAAACACTGATAATTCACAATTTACTATTGCAAAGGGAAAAATGATTGTTCCGATAAAAATCTGAAGTCTTTGGTTACTTGTATTCAGCAAATAAAAATTGTGACAGAGTTTTAATGATATGTGAAATAACCATAAAGGAATATGGCTAATAATACGACCAAATGGTTTCCCTGTGACCTGCAAACCTACCCTGCCAGCAGGCACCAACAACAAGCTTGGTGGAATGAACTTTAACAGTTCTGCGGAGAGGCCAATCATCAACTATTTCCATGTCAGCCTGGTCTGGGATCAATAACTTCCCATCAATATACAGTCGCACCTGTCAAAAACCAACAACATTTATTAGTCAAGAACAAATAACAGTCTTTATTGCTGTTGGAAGTCAAAATTAATTACTTCATTCAGTCAGTTCCATAACAGTAAATTACAATTTTTTATGTGCAGAAAACTCTGAATAACAAAATTTTCAACTTGCTGTTGGTGGATACTAAAATGCAAAAGTTGAAGCACCAATCAATTGTTTTTAACTTACTGTTGGTGGATACTAAAATGCAAAAGTTGAAGCACCAATCAATTGTTTTTAACTTACTGTTGGTGGATACTAAAATGCAAAAGTTGAAGCACCAATCAATTGTTTTTAACTTACTGTTGGTGGATACTAAAATGCAAAAGTTGAAGCACCAATCAATTGTTTTTAACTTACTGTTGGTGGATACTAAAATGCAAAAGTTGAAGAACCAATCAATTGTTTTTAACTTACTGTTGGTGGATACTAAAAAGCAAAAGCTGAAGCACCAATCAATTAAACTTTCTAGTTAATGTATTTACAACCACCATGTAGGTCAGGAACTATTTGGTAAATATAAACATATTTGGATAAGACTTGTAATGAACACCTACATGTGGAAAGTCAACACTGACGGCGTAGTAATGCCAATCCCCGTCGTTGATCTGAGGAATGCTCCAGCGCCACTCTGCAGGCTTGAAAACTTCAATGTCCTCTTCATCGTCTGCCTCGCGGCGCAGGAGAAACACAAGCTTCTCACCATGGACAAACCATGAATAATGGTGACGGTTCATACCTAAAACACAATCACATTCATGAGTTGTAACTTTGCATGTTTTGGTTATAAAATAACTTAGAAGGATAGAAAGGTTGCAGCTCATACCTAAAACACCACCATATTAATCACTTTTAAATTGGACTGTTTTGATTATAGAATAACTTAAAACGCAGCTGAGAAAATCTTAAGCATATATGTATGGAGTGTGTTTTGAATTACATATCAATATACCAATTTTTCAATGAAACCAATATAAATGACTTATCATAAACATCAAATGATGATGGGATTTTTATATTTTTTTTTTTTTTGTTTGTAATAAGATTCATTTTTTTTTGTAATATTTTTTTTTTTTTTTTAAATGTGGTGCAGGTTCTTCTTCATTTGTTATTATATAACTTCTGCTGGAGGATCATTTTGGTTTTCTACTCAAAAATAGTACTAGGCAAATATTAAGAAAAAGAGGAGAGAAATCTACTAATACTCTAGGCAATTAAACATACACTCTCTCACAAATTTCTAATTATCTTTCCTTTTATATATCGTCAAACATACACATAACACCAAACGTTAAAGAAACGGTTGAAGAATAACACATCACTAAGGTTATGGCCTACAAACATATTTAAGGAAGTTACCTTCGCCATCAGACATGCACACAATATGTTCTTTTTCAGGACGACCATCAGGACTGACTGTCCAATCCTCGAACTCGTGTTTCATCCATGTAGATATGGTAAAATGTTCGTGCAATGAGTGGTTGAAGTGAGATGTGGGTACTTCAACTGCATTGGTCTGTCCATCAAAGTAGAAGATCTGGTCACTCTCATGGCCATCATCAACGTGAAGAGTGCTAGTGTAGGTTGTCGTCAGACTTGGCGATGGCAACAGATCAACACTGTTATCATTGGCTCCTGTGGTGGTCACAAAATGATATTACCAGAATAAAAGATATAAAAAATGATATTAACAGAATAAAAGATATAAAAAATGATATTAACAGAATAAAAGATATAAAAAATGATATTAACAGAATAAAAGATATAAAAAATGATATTAACAGAATAAAAGATATAAAAAATGATATTGACAGAATAAAAGATATAAAAAATGATATTGACAGAATAAAAGATATAACCCCTTAAAACATTCGTTTTGATTATGTTTTTGTATTTGAACAAACCTAATGAATTCCCACTATAAATCTCAATACCATCGCTAAATCTTGTCATTCATCTAATTAACTTTAACCTTTTAAATCAAAACTCACAATAAGGATTTGCATGCTAGGAAATGTAGCTCATTTTAGACACTTTTGTGTACGGCAATCACGGTTAAAGAGCAATGTTTTCATTTGAATTCATTTACAGATTTCCAACAGGTCAACTTTTTTTTTAAAACTTATCCATTCCTTTTATTATCATTATTATTATTCATATTTAATTTCTGTTTTATTTATCTTATTATTATGTTCATGAGTGATCAACATTCTAATTCAATACCTGTTTAATGTATAGGTGTTACCACACAAAAATATATGACACACATATATTCTTCCAAATGTCCTGACTAATGAGGTAACAGAATTACAGGTAGCCGCAGACAAACTGCTAACTTACCACACAACTTTCTCTGGGAGACAATGGAGTAGGTGTCACGGTCACATCCTTTACCAATGTGTTTGGTTGCTAAGTGCATTTTGACCTTGACCCTCTGTGGGACACAGGTGTTATCACACCACTTGAGGGTGGCCCCTGGAACCACTTTCACCTGACCACTACCAGCATCATAGTTAACATGGTCTGGGATATCTGCAGAGCAAACATATTTATTTTAGGTATATATGAAATCACCTGTTCCTCGAACTAGTGGACTGACCATAAATATCACCCATAATGATTAAATGATAACAGTCAATCTTAGGTTTCAGACAGTACAGTTTTGTTGTGGTTGTTCAATCATTGCTTATAAAAGATATGCAGAGAAGACTAAATTCTTAAAAATAAGTCTCAGGTTACTCTAAAAGATTTCAATCAAATATATAACGAAATTTGTTTCTAAGGATAAAAATTTGGTCATAAGAATGGCTGAAACTTTAGATTTTAAGTTGATTCTATCTGAAAAATCAAAGGATACACTATGTTAGAATTTTCAAAACTCAAAAAGCATTTTTTTCCCTTTTGTTGTGAGCAACACTAGCTGTCTTCGATAATTTCATTAATTTATATTTTTTCTCAGGGTAGCTATCCTGACAATGTTGATGCTGACCTTGCCATCCACTTTTGCACACTTCTCTCATCTTGATGTTGATAACAGCTTTCTTGGAGCGCTTTCCTCCACAGTCTACAGCTACCAGCTCCAGGATAAAGTTGTGATGCTGTTTATAGTGTATCAGTTCAGTGTTTCTCAGGTTACCTAGCAACAAATTAATGATATAACTATCATCATTTTATTCAAAACAAAATCAACTGTTTTCTATACCGCGATATGGTCTGGATACAACACTTTATCTCTAACTTAAGGTCAAGGAGTAGGCTTATCAAAATGATGGAACAACATATGACAGATTAAATCAACACGGACTTATTACCAGGCGTGGGCTTATTGCTGAATAGACCATATTCCCAGCAGAGGTATACATGCAGTCAGATGAGAAACATTTACGTCATTGATCATTATCAACTTTCATTACATGTTGCTCAATGCCATGGGCCTGGATTACAAGGGTAACAAAGTATTGTATATATGGACATGTAAATTAAATGATTTTGTATTGAACGTACCTCGCCTATCGATGGTAAAGGGAACATTGTTTGTGAGGATCTCATAACCACAAATGCCGCGGTATTCAGGAGAGCGATCACTATCCGTGGCACGGACGCGCACCAACGAGTCGTAGAATCGTCCCTCATCCATCTCCACAAAGTAGTTGTCTTGGATGAACTTTGGTGGGAATTCGTCAACATCCTTCACACGAATGAAGATGATAGCCCTGAAACAGGTTTCTTATGATAGTAATACACTCTACACAATTTCTATGTATTAGCAGCAAATTAATTTGAAAATTTGAACTTCATATATTTTTTTCTTGAGGTCAACTTTGGATTTTGGCAATATCAATGTTAGTTATCTATCCTGGTGGTCACAAACAGTTCTGAAGTGTTTTTGTACGAATTGTTAAAGTACGTAATAAGAAATAATCAGTAATAGATCAACATCCTAAAGATGTATGTGAAATTCTACACCATTTAAAGTAAGAAAAATTGAGAAACAGTCTCTTTCTGCCTGACTTTTATAAGGTTTAGAAGAAATTTAAAGTCTTACTTATTTGACTCCCTTCTAGGGGTCCCACAGTCATAGGCAATGATGCTAAACCTATAGCGAGCTCGTTTTTCAAAGTTTAAGTGGGCTCCCTCAATCAGATTGATCTCTGCCTCGCCTGTTGCTCTGTTCTTAATATCAACCACGAATGGCATATCACGCCTCCGTGAAATAACATCATAGCCGCAGATGTATTCTGAAAAATACAACAAGTACATTTTTAGTTTATCAACAACATACCCCGAATAAACAGCTTTAAGACTTTCACAATTAAAAAAAAATATGACCCTTTTTGGAAATAAAGGCAGTAATTAAAATTAGACAGCAAGACTGATGCCCAATAGAATGAAATGAAGATGGGGCAACTCTTGCCAAAGTTAAACTTTCACCATATTGCCTTTTAATCACTAAGGAGAAAATACAATGGTGGCCAAGTTGCAAGTTACAGTAGGTCCAAAGATCATGAAAAAACTTTTAGTTACAACATCTCTTTTCATGATATCATCTGTGATTTACATATTCAAAACTTATGACACTTCAGACTGTTTCATGATCTTGGGGCCAGAAATATGTTTTTAGAGAAAACTTAAAACTTGGCAGAGACAAATATTTGTATGGGAGGGTGAGAATATCCCTGGTATTCCCATATATACTATATTTCACAGGTCTTTTGTCATGGGACTCTTATGGTATGTAAGTTAATATCAGTCAGGTCTTCAATACACTAAACTGATTTCTTAGTTTAAATAAATATTCCCTTGTCAAGTGAAGTAAAAATATTTTTTTTTAGAATGATGAATGCCAACATTACCAGCATATCTTAAGCATTCCCTGACAAGACGCAAGTGTGAAGTGACAAAAATTTGGCCAGGCGTTATGGAACAGACCCAAGAGTCTATAACTTCGTCACTGAGTCATCAGTAACATTTAACCACATGTGTGGCTGCTGCTGTTGATCCTTCCAAGAATCAATGAGAAAATAGACCCCGTGATATTATGTTTAGACCCCGTGATATTATGTTGATATCTGTGCTTAATCTCATTGTACTTGTCAACTTTCATGCTTATTGGTTTGAATTTAAAACTGACGTCAATTGTCATTATTAAACAAGACTCCTGTCCATCTGAGTTTCTACCAATATCTCCTACTATTTCATCAGATTGAAATCACATTATGTCTTACTAAATTTTTCACAATGAAAGTTGGATCAATCAAAACACAGCATTCTCAGTGAAAATCTAATATCTCTCAGAGCGCAATGACAACTCTGTGGAGATTGTGATTTAAAGACTTGAGTGTTCAATGTGAAACTAATCTATATGTATAACTATTTTACATTATCTGGCAGAATAATTAAACTGTGTATTTCATTGTTGTAATAATGGAACTAAGTATTTCATTGTTGTAATAATGGAACTAAGTATTTCATTGTTGTAATAATGGAACTGTGTATTTCATTGTTGGTAATAATGGAACTAAGTATTTCATTGTTGTAATAATGGAACTGTGTATTTCATTGTTGGTAATAATGGAACTGTGTATTTCATTGTTGGTAATAATGGAACTAAGTATTTCATTGTTGGTAATAATGGAACTAAGTATTTCATCGTTGGTAATAATGGAACTGTGTATTTCATTGTTGGTAATAATGGAACTGTGTATTTCATTGTTGGTAATAATGGAACTAAGTATTTCATTGTTGTAATAATGGAACTAAGTATTTCATTGTTGGTAATAATGGAACTAAGTATTTCATTGTTGTAATAATGGAACTAAGTATTTCATTGTTGGTAATAATGGAACTAAGTATTTCATTGTTGTAATAATGGAACTAAGTATTTCATTGTTAGTAATAATGGAACTAAGTATTTCATTGTTGTAATAATGGAACTAAGTATTTCATTGTTGTAATAATGGAACTAAGTATTTCATTGTTGGTAATAATGGAACTGTGTTGTAATAATGGAACTGTGTATTTCATTGTTGGTAATAATGGAACTGTGTATTTCATTGTTGGTAATAATGGAACTGTGTATTTCATTGTTGGTAATAATGGAACTAAGTATTTCATTGTTGGTAATAATGGAACTAAGTATTTCATCGTTGGTAATAATGGAACTGTGTATTTCATTGTTGGTAATAATGGAACTGTGTATTTCATTGTTGGTAATAATGGAACTAAGTATTTCATTGTTGTAATAATGGAACTAAGTATTTCATTGTTGGTAATAATGGAACTAAGTATTTCATTGTTGTAATAATGGAACTAAGTATTTCATTGTTGGTAATAATGGAACTAAGTATTTCATTGTTGTAATAATGGAACTAAGTATTTCATTGTTAGTAATAATGGAACTAAGTATTTCATTGTTGTAATAATGGAACTAAGTATTTCATTGTTGTAATAATGGAACTAAGTATTTCATTGTTGGTAATAATGGAACTAAGTATTTCATTGTTGTAATAATGGAACTGTGTATTTCATTGTTGGTAATAATGGAACTAAGTATTTCATTGTTGTAATAATGGAACTAAGTATTTCATTGTTGGTAATAATGGAACTAAGTATTTCATTGTTGGTAATAATGGAACTAAGTATTTCATTGTTGTAATAATGGAACTAAGTATTTCATTGTTGGTGATAATGAACTGTGTATTTCATTGTTGTAATAATGAAAATGTGTATTTCAATGTTGGTGATCACTGATGTTCTACTGTGTCACTAGAATAGAATTGAATTTTTTTTCTGCAAAAAGATCTGTAGAATAAGAATAAAGAATAAACATCATTTTTGTTGAGATAAAGTAAACCTTTAGTTTTACTTCCATGTATACTTCACAATTTCATATCTTACAATCAGATTTTTATTTTTTGAGTTTCACAAATTCAGTTCGAGCAACATTGAACTCATTTTTAGTGACTGGTACCTCAATGATTTTATCTTAGTTCACCAAGAAAAATGTTACTTGCTTTATGTCTGAATTACCTCATTAATGTTTAAGTTAACAATATCTTTGACATTTACAAAAACATTATTAACAGATTTTTTTAGCTACACCAAGGGTAGTACATTTTAAATACATCCCTGGACATTTTCAGTAACACCAAGTGTAGAACATTTTAAATATGTCCCTGGACAGTTTAAGTAACACCAAGTGTAGTACATTTTTAATACGTCCCTGGACAGTTTAAGTAACACCAAGTGTAGTACATTTTAAATATGTCCCTGGACAGTTTAAGTAACACCAAGTGTAGTACATTTTAAATATGTCCCTGGACAGTTTAAGTAACACCAAGTGTAGTACATTTTTAATATGTCCCTGGACAGTTTAAGTAACACCAAGTGTAGTACATTTTTAATATGTCCCTGGACAGTTTAAGTAACACCAAGTGTAGTACATTTTTAATATGTCCCTGGACATTTTCAGTAACACAAAGTGTAGAACATTTTAAATACATCCTTGGACATTTTCAGTAACACCATGTGTAGAACATTTTAAATACATCCTTGGACAGTTTTTACCCTTGTGTGATATGAATCTTATCAGTAATACAACATGTCCAGATTAGTAACTTCATTTTCCATTACTCCATGTACATTTTGTATAATGGTATGATGGGACAATTCCAGTTTACAATAAAGTAATCTTAGTCTACAAGGTCTAAGGACTAAGATCCATGGGACAAATTAGGGAATTATTTACCTAGAGACTAAGAAAAGTTCAGACCATGTAAAAAAAAATGTAACAAAAAAAATCAGGAAAACAGAAATAGACATTTAATCATTTGTAAGCATTTATTCTGAATTCTCTACAAATTAAAATCATATGTCTAATGATGTCTGATTTTATAATATCACATTGTCTATCAATTTCTTACAGAGTTTCAACCGAAGTTCAGACAGACAAGATTCCATATGTTTTACAATCAATCCCTTAATTAGTATGCTGGCTTTATGAATAAATAAGATTCCTTTAATGAATATGTATAATGTTTGTCATCACTACACCTGACATCAACCTGCTTCACATGTATGTTCTGTAGACAATGCAATAAGATATTCCCAGATGTTGTGTAATGTGCTGGCCAGTGATATAGAACAACCACTAGCGTACAGGCTCATCATGTCATCACGTCTCCTCAGGCAATTCAACGATTTTGGCAATCTCATTCACATATATATTCCATTACATTTCAGCAAAGAAATGAGCAAACCTCATCAGAATTTAAGTCATGTGCAGGTTTTTCTAATTCACTTGTGTTTCTAAGTGAATTAAAAAATGATCAACAAAATAATTAGTAATTAGAAATCATTGGAATACACCATGAAGTGGAATTAAGAAAGAAAAAAAAATCTTTTAAATTAAAGCTTTTCCCAAGACTGTTCATGTTGTATATTTCTGAATTTGTGTATCATAGAAAAAATTACTATGCATTCTATTGGTAGCCCTGAGGAGGTTTGTGTTGGACCAGACCCAGGTCTGTACTGATGTTAAGGTTTTGTCCTTGGGCAAGACACTTTACCCTAATTACTTTGGATGACATGAAATGGGCCTCCTGTATGTTGTTCAGTGAGGCAGTCACCAACTACTACAAGGAGACCCCACCTGTTTACAAGGTAATTAACCCAGCAAACAAACATATCAATCTACCTGTAAATTATGTCAATCCTGAGACTAATCACAGTTATAATGGTATACTTACAACATCATGTCACATCACTCATCTTGGAGATTATTAACACATTATTAGGGCAATTAAACACTCATTCTGTAATCAATACCCATTAACGGCTGGAGAATTTCAGAATTACTCTCAATTTATTGACACCACAGAATCCAATGAATAATTGACATACCAACTCGTAAATACCAGATTCTAGCAAATCTCTACTAATAGGATTTGACACGAGTCGACATTAAGCTCACAGGAAGTATCGTGTGGTGAAATCCTACAGGAATGGAATCTTAGTGTTACTCAATGAGATCAATACTCCCACAGAATAATTCAGAGCTTGCTTGCTGTTTCTTGTTTTCCCTCGCAAAACTAACATAAACCAAATTAAAACTGGTTGAAATGAGGCAAGGTTTGGGGTGTCTAGAACCAGATGCCAAACAAGTGGTGTATATCCTGTCACATTTCCACGAGATGAGCTGACCATTGGACGGGTCAGTATACACTTGAACCTTCACTTT